CCTCCCAAAGATTTGGAGCAGTTTCACCAGGTTGCTAATTGCCCCAAGTCCAAATCAATAGAGGATTAAATGTGGAATAGGTTTGCTAGGGGATTAGCTGTGCGAAAGAGTGGGGTTGTAGGAACAATAGAAAGTTAAAGTTTGTTAGTTCAGAGTAGTATACAGTTCCAAGGATAAACTCTACTCAGTCACCTTTACTGTCCATATTTTATATTCAGACCTGTATTTTCTATGTTAGAACTGTGTCCACTACATCTAGAAAATCCTTTGGACTTTCAGGAATTAACCTGTACTACTTATCAATGGACAGAGTTTGTAGCAGGAGCCGTGTAGTCCTTATACTCCCTAACCATTGTACTGGACTGGATTAGACCACCTGGTTTAGTACTTTGAGCAAAACTTCTTCTCCTTCCCACCACAAGAATCCAAATCTCCACCTGCACTTGGCATTGCCCCTGAATGCCAGCCATTAAGGCAGGTTTCCCAGATGAAGGCGACCCTTTTCCCAGTGGACCGGTTCTACTTCCACATATAGAGCGACCATTGTTTTAAATGCAACTGCTTCCACTCCCCTGAGACTGGGTTTCAAGTCACTGGCCACTATAGCCAGAGCAGTGACAGAGAGGAAATATGATAAATCAGTCTCTCTGACGCTGTCTGTCAGGAAGCAGTGCAACATTCTCTTTTTCCCAAGTGCCAACAGGTGGGAGAGGGTGAGCCTTGGTCAGGTTACAGTGTGCATGTGTGTGAATTTGTGAATAACACATACTCTTTTTCTTTTTTTTTTTCCAGGTGCGCCAGAAAGGAGAAATGTGAGCGCTCGTCGGAGCCCCGGCGCTTTTCATCAGACATCAAGCAGTGTGTGCATCTCAGTGTCCACCCAAACAACATCTCCGTGTCCCAGTTCAGTGTAACGGTGAGTGGATGGAGGAAGATTATCCTCACACACACTAAAAAAAGAACTTGCTTTCTTAATTTGGAGAGATATGACAGGCTACACTAAGTGCTCCACACTGGAGTAAAAAATAACTGTCCTACAAAAAATAAATCATGTTTTACAGTCTGTTTGTTTTAAATAGCCAACTGGTTTAGTCTGCTTAAAACTGGATGTATAAAACACGTCATACAATGCGAGCCTGACTGCAATCTGTTTTGAATTTGAACAAAAATATTCCCCCAGTGCTGTGGATATCTGACCTACTTTAGTGTTGGGTGGCGATGGGTTAAAAGCAGAGGTCACATTTGGTTGTGTGCAGTGGCGTGCTGTGTCACAATGACAAGAGGTTCGCTTTCACTTTTTTCTTCACATGCTACTGTATACAACTGCTTAGCTAAAAGTAGCCACATCAACAAATGCTTGTATTTTTGCACATAAAAATGGATGTAAAATTACACCTAAAAAAACTTTAGCATTTCACAAGTAAAACTAATGACTCAGAAACACAGTTTAAGTTAATAGGCACCAGCTATGAGCTAATAGCTGCATTTCACAAGTAAAACTAATGACTCACAAACACAGGGCACCAGCTATGAGCTAATAGCCACCCAGTAATAGGCTAGTTCTTTTAACTACTGATTACTGTCTATTACTAGTTAGCAAGAAATTTTTTGCTAGCTTGCTTGCAATGTAGCATGTCAACCAGAAGGAGCCAATATAAACAGGCTAACTGAACGCACAGCCCTGCCTTTTACAACAAACTGTCTGTTTTATAATGACATTTTTTACCTATCCTTATGAATTATAATTTAAACTGACACGTGATTTATTTGTTCCAGCAAGCCTTTAAACACCAATCTTTACTCTGGGTTTCGGTCATACACCACAGCCTGGCCGAGATTAAAACTGGCAATCCCGAAAACACAAATCCAACCCCTTAAATTTACATGCATGGATCTGTAATCCACTGGATTAAAGTCTTTTTTTGTAGAAATTATTTCTAAAATGTACCTTTGTTATATATTTTTGATCCATATTTGTGTTTGACACTGTCACTGATTTGGTTTGTGATGTTAAAAATCATTTGACTCCAGGAAATCATTTGACAGTCGAAGATGTGGGTCATGTCTGTTTCTCCTATGAAATGACTGACACTGCCTTAACCACAATGTGCTATTACATTTATTTACTCACCAAATCTCCGTCGGAAAACCTGTTGTGAAGGTTTATAGCGCTAACTGTAATAGGAAATCCCACTGACCGTAACCGCCTGAAATTATGTCACATTTCAATTTCTATTTCCTGCTTAATGATGGTTTTGGAAATTGAATTGAAAAGATCAAGTGCGTAAATATCCAATATGATTTTCTCAGGTCGAGTCTGACTGCCTTATTCTCCATCCGTGTCTAAAGGGTCACAGGAGGTCTAGATTTTTCTGTGGTAAAACCGCACCATCGCTCTAATGATATTCATGGGGTGCAAGTGAGTGTCATGTTCCTCAAGCTGGAGCCTTCAGAGAGTGTTTAACCTTTTCCCAGTAAGCGGGCTGTACCCACAGGCTACACTGCAGATCCCTCATCCAACTGATAGCAGGGCACAGTCTTCTGCCAGACAGACAGAGTCTCCTCTTTAACCTTTGTGTTATTAAATATTTGTTTGGAATAGATAGACTAAGACATTCTGGAGAGGAAAGAGCTGCACTCCATGACTGTTATCAGGCCTAATATTTGCATTTTGACTCTTTTTGATTTTCCAGACTTCAAATAAACTGTCAAATATCTTTGGTTAGAATAAAATATTATTTTTGAAAACAAGACAATCTAAAACAAAACATAGCTATGTTAAAATTTAATAATCATCCAAACATTTAGAGCATTAGGATGTACACACTTTGCTATAAAATATGACAAAAATAAAATTATACAACCACTGGCATTTGTTTATAAATGTATCATCCCTGCATCATGACTAGCTTTTATAAATTCTCTCCATGGTGTGTAAGTCTGTGTGTGTGTTTGAGTGGATTAACTGCACATTTATTCTGCCTGGCCATACTCGGCTGTGACCACTCTAAACGTAATTGAGGAAAACTCGAGGTCTGGCTGCAGTCCCTCCTTAAAGAGAAAATAAATTAAAACAGGAGAAGACAAATGTGAATGCACTACCAATGAGGTAAACAAGAGAGAGGGAATGTGCGAGAGATAGAAACCCGGTCACACACTGTCCAACTTACGTGGAAAGCAATGTGTCTGTTCCCCACCTGCGCTGCACTCTTTTCATTAAACAGCAATATAAAAACAGCCCAGGTCAGCCCTTTCTCCAGCGCTGATGCAGCTTTCGGCATCACATCACTGGTGTACCATGGTCGCTGCCTGAAATCAATGTCCTTCCCCGGGCCCTCTGCAGAGACACTTTCTATCAATATGTATATTTTGGTCCTGACCCCACACTGACTCGCCGCTCTGACCCTCTTTTTTATCCTCCTTATTCAAGGACAGCATTTTTTCCCCTTCATCTCCACCTGGAACCAATTTTTTACCCTCAGGCACAGGTAGCTGACACAGCGTTTTCTGATGAAGTGGGGAACATTTGCATTATATACAGTGTTTTACAGTGTCCTTTGTATTTCTCCCCCTCTCCATTGGCTTATTTGTTCATATAACAGCTTGCTCTTCTTGCCTTTTGTTTCTTTTTTCATACTGCACCATTTTTCTCTTTAAACTCCTTATAATTTATCTTTGTACATTTGCTGCATAATTTATCTCTTGGCAGATACCAGGAATGGCTTGATCCGAAACTCAGGATGGGTATCATTCTGATATTTGTCAATATTTCAGGATCAAACATCAAAAAAACACAACTAAAGCCCACCGGATCCCAAAAGCCCAAATGCTCTTAAACTAACTTAACTTTGCACAAAATTCTGTAACAGAATGTAAACAGAATCCCAATCCCCTCAGGACAAGATAGTTGTACTGGTACTGGATTGATATCGGTATCAGCATATACTCTGTTGCAGTATTGGTATCGTATTGGACATGAAAAAGTCAAGCTATCCATAAATATTGGTAAATACAGGTCTATTCTGCTCTTTATTGCCCCAGAGCTTTAAAAAAAGCGTTGACGATCGTAGTGGCATATTAGGATGTCAAATATGTGCTTTTCAGATTTGAGACCATGGTATTATACTGTATGTACATCTTGCAAACTTGATAAATTTTTCCTCAATGAACTTGTCAGATCTAACAGAAGCAGAATTCTCAGTAATAGAGAAACTGTTTGGGGATTGATTTTTTTTTTTAGTTATCTTTTACTTCCTGTTGTGATTAAAGAGAATTCCACGAGGTCAAGATTTTGTCTACACTCATTTCTGAAGCTTAACCATTTCAAAAAAGGCAATAGACACAAATATGTACACGAGGCTCTCCGCAGACAATATTGAAGAATTCTAGTAATTTATTTTTACCCTGCAGGTTTTGTACACATTACCTCATCATTGCGTAAGCCCTTGATGGAAACACTACGTTTGTCTGAAGAGTGTTTATTTTTCCTTTTTTACTCCTCCTAATTAGAATTATAGTGACAGATTCGGTGGATTTGAGATTTGTTAAGGCTTTCCTTATGATCGACGAAACACTGTTCCAAAGTCTTGGTTGTCAGGACAACAGACTGTGAAAGAAGCCAGTTTGACTCAAGAACAGACAGAAGGTTTACTACATCAAACAGCCAAAGATATGTCAGCCCGACCTGTATGAAAAAAAAAAACACAACACAGTGGGCATTAAGAACCTGCAACGTTATAATGAAAACAGTTTCTACTCAGTTGGTAAAGTTGTAAGCCTCTTTGATACTAACTTATTAGAACTGCTATATATCCATGGTGATATAATGACCCCGGGAAATAATTAGCTTCTGTCAATATCCAATACATATCTTTTTCTAATCTTCTTGAATGTCTTTATAATTTGAAATGTTGTTTTCTTACTGCAGTTGGTATTGGAAGCCCACAATGTTCCAGAACTGTCTGGGGGAGTCAGCTGCAGCTTTGAGGACCTTGCTGAGATGACTGGGCTGGTGGAGGGAAACAGGATTAAGTGCTTTTCGCCTGCAGAGAAGGAGATGCCACGAATTGTCGTAGACAAAGGTGAGCAGAAAATCATGATGGGTAACATAGCATCTACTGCTCTATTTGGTATACGGGTTACTGGAACGTGTCCATTTTTCCGTTTTCTTTTTTTTCGTTAGTTAGTCCAACCAAAACCAAACATGACCACCATCTGGTTCTACAATGGGTTGGACACATTTGTTTTACCAACAATAAGTCTAATTGCATTAAACAAACATTCTGGATCAGGAGTTCCTAATTACTTACAAGATTAGTCACTGTGTTGTCAATAAATAGAACATTATTATACATAAATAGTACCCTAAGATTCACTGCTTTAAAGCTGTGCTAAATGCTAAAGAGAAATTTACCAAAAATACAATAAAAATTGCCATTGGCAAAAACATAAAAAAAAGTTTACAAAATATAGAAAAAGCAAAGTCTTAAAAAAAGAAAAGGCATATAAGTCTGTATTGCATTCAAATCAAAACATACATAAATGGCAGCCATGAAGGTAAACATTTATGTAAGATTTTTTCTTTAGTCAAAACATGAGCCATCAGTGGCGTATCTAACCTTCAAGCGATGCCTTAGGATGTGTTAAGTGATTCAGTGAACATTAGTTATTAGTCGTCTGTGGGACTTATTTACCTCCCCTCCCTTAAAGTAGATATAGGTGATGATGATAATGAGACCCCACTTAACCTTACTACGACAAACACAATATTACGCTGTCTAGTCTCTATGGAAAATGTCACTTTATTTTTAAAAAGCCAAAATGACATTCCTCTTTATGTTAAAAACACATACATTATGTGAGCTCAAAAGGATGGTATGTCTTTTTTATACCTAATTTCATTCCCCTACTCTTCACCTCCTGTCTTCATGGTTGAATAAGCCTGGTCTAATTGAACCCAACTCCCATCTGGGAAGCTCTGTCCCCAGGCAGGCAATCCTTCATTACCAACCCTCAGTGTCCTCATGTTGAGATAATGAAGATGCCACCCTTCCCTTAGTTCAGGGAAAATGTAAAAAAAGAAGAAAAAAAATGAAAATAGGGGGGAAATAGTTGGTAATCCATCAATAATAATCTGAATTTGCATATAAAGAAAAATACTGTTGGGCTTACAGCATTCACATGTTTCCATAGGAAATACCAAATGATAGTGTTAATGAAACACTGATGTAGGCATCACAGGCAGTAGTTAATTAACCAGAATAAAAACAAGTTTAATCTTTTTCTTTTAAAATCAATTCATACATCTTTGTTCTACTGAACTAACATTTCAAACATCAATATTTTAACAAGCACATAAAATACAAAAGTCAATGGCTGTAATAAAAAAATAAACACGCTATATTACGTTACTTGTTTTTAGCCTGTGTGCTAACTGCCTCCGCTGAGACTGTCTGCTAAGTGCTACCTCGGTTTTTGCTAGGATCATATCGTGGTCTCAACCAATAAGAGAGAGCAAGGGCGTGTCTTAGTCTCTGATTGGCTGTGCTCCTGGAACTACAGAGTAGCTGAAACGGAAACAAACAGAACGAGAAAACAAACACGACAAAAAGGAGGGAAATGAAAAGCGGAAGAACGATTAAAAACTAACGTTATAGCCTGCCCTACTATCGTCTTTCCATGTTTCCCCACTGCTGAGAGTCCAGACTGCCAAGACACGGAGCTCTTGGTCCTTGGTAAGACGCCAAGCCCGGGTCCTTCGGCCCAGCCCAGAGACTTAAAAAAAAAAAAAAAAGTGTTACATCAGACAGGCCTAGCTAGAACAATTCCCGTGGCCAAGGTACGACAAAGGACGTAACGCATTGCATTGCGTTTACTGTGAGGAGTACGGTCAGAATATGGTGCAACTTTTCGTATCGACACTAAAACACTACATGCCACGACAAGTGTGTGGAGGAAGTGGCCCTACTCCAGAAATGCTAATCAAATGTAATGTTGTCGTAGAACATTGCCAAAGAGTAGACGCCGATCACCAAATTCAAATCAGAAATTCTTCTCATGACGAAAAAAAAGTTCAATTTGCAGTTAAGCACAAGCACTTTTATTCAGAAATGTTTTTATTTTACCTAATGTTTAAGTTTGATGTTAGCTGAGTGTAGCACTTTAAACACTTTTTCATATAATTGTGCTAATAAACACAAGCATTTCTCTACACAAATATTCTTGTTATTAAATAATTCACATTGTATGAAAATCATGAAGAACAATAAAAAGGTAACTTTATGATGTTAAAGGTAACACAATGAAAACTTTAGGAGCACCTACACTAAAACTCTCAGATAACACAATGAAAACTTTAGGAGCACCTAGACTAAAACTCTCAGCGAAAATATTGTGCACCCCTACTATCACGTCGGTAAGCATATAATACAGTAAACCTATGATTGCGAATTTACATAAGTAAATATGTACTTTAAACACTAATTTATCTTAAATATCTTACTCATGCTTTCACCCAAAACTGCAGAAACACACTGCTTCAGGGCGAGTGAACGAATAATTTACATTATTTTCTTACATTCAAACTTCCTCCAATTCTTACAACACCTCATTAGTCTGAGCCTCCTAAGGAAGGAACGGTAGCAGGCTTCAAGGTAACATTTAGGTGGCCTAATTAGGACAGATGTGTTGTCAGCAGTGTTTTTATCGTGATTGATGAATGATTCCTTCTTTGCTAAAGAAAGGGAGTGAGACATGGGGGAGAAGAAAGACTTTGCACAATGGAAGGAAGTGAAGAGACCTGTGTGTACTCTGGAGATGGAATGGTGATGAGAGGAGAGAAAGAGAGTTACGGAGCTGGAGTATTGGGGTAGTGAGGAGGAGGCGAAGGGGAGGTGGTGGAGGTGGGGAGGGGGTTGGACGTGTGGCTGTGCTGTTGAATTAAACATGAACGCCTTCATTAGAACCAGACAAAGGGACACAGCCAGTACACATGAGCCACAAACTTACACAGGCACACTTGTAACACACACTCACACACACATGAACACATTGTTTTTGATTTATTGTCTTTCCTTTTTACCTTGTCAAAGACCCTCTGAAAGACTGATCTTGGGGAATAATTTCCATCCCAGGGGAACTGCCAACTTTTGTTGCCACTTGTAAGGAAAGGAGGATGGAGAGATTTAACCCCGGTGCTCCCTGCCTTTGTCTTTCTAAAGATACTACCTTCATCACTGCAACAACAGTGTCAACACCTGTCGCTCAGAGCCGCAGTGGCGTGTTCTCTGTGTGGGAGAATGTAATAAGGAGAGACATTAAAGATTAATATACGGCCCCAAGATTGTTCCCACATCTGTTAATCAATAACCCCATGTCCTGAAAAATTGTTTTAAAATCCCATAGAAACAAACATCTGTCATTTTGTAACTTTAATTAAATAACAAATTTGATGTTTTGGGGTTTACTAAAAATGCATAGTAATTGTTCTTCACCAAATGACATTTTTAGTTGTCTCTTTTGACCAGGTCTGTGTTTCAAACTAAAACTGTTCTCTTATATCTTATAGGTGATCATCAGATTGTGCAGCTCTATCTTAAATCCAAAGAGACTGGCTTGGCCATCGCAAATACCGACTTTGTCTTTTACAACTGCAGCGTGCATAAGTCGTAAGTTCATTTAAACGTTTTATCTATCTTTTATATATTTTAAAAGGTCATTTGTATCCTTTGCTACTGTAGCATAGGTTGAAAAGAAAAGGAAATACTTTACATCCTGGCTCCATTACTGTGCTTGTGCATTTCATCTGCTCTGATTGTTTGTGGTTTGTTGGTGAAGTTAGTCTGCTTGTATTACAGTGGAAATGTCAGTATTTCGCTTTTCTTGATTCTTGTTTTTTTCAACTCACTGCATACAGGTGTCTGTCATGTGTGAGCAGCCCGTACCAGTGCCACTGGTGTAAATATCGACACGACTGCACTCATGACCCTCGCACGTGTTCCTTCCAAGAGGGACGCGTCAAGAAACCTGAGGTGAGCCCTCAACAAATCGTCCTAAATTAATTTTTTGATTGTCCTGCATTAATTTCTGTCACAAAACATTAAGGATTTATAATATCTGTGTCCAATAATTAATACAACATATTTTTGGCTGAATTTGTACCTGAATCGGGTTGAGAATGATTTCCATTTTACCCAGCACAGGAAGCCTTTTCATAGATCTCTATCTAAGTGGTAAAACGTTTCAAAAATTAGGGGCAACTAAAAGCTACATTTCCATGTTTTACTTCCAGAAATGGTCATGTTAAAAAGAGCTGCACACCTTTTAGCTGCTTCCCTTCAATCTGCCAAGAGTCCCTTGGCATGTCTGATTTTTGATTACACATCTAAGGCCAGAGGAAGCTCATAAAACTGAACCGTTTCCTCTAGCCCGGCCCTATTCCCTGCAACAGCTTAGTCTGTGTGTATTATCAATAGTATTGGCAGCCACTTCCATTCCTGTCAAAGCAGATCCTGCTGTAATTAGGCTGCTCTGCTGCAGACGACAAGCTCCTCACTGAATGGGGGTTTATTCATTGAGTGCCCCAAACCTGGCTGTTTCTTTTTCATCTAGAGAGGTCTCACTCTGATTAAAAGTCTGAGAGCAGGTTTACAATCTGCTTTAATTAAGCTACACACAGAGCTCGACTGCCAGATGATTGGTTTACAATCCTTGCTCGACTATATGTTCACCAATTATGTAAATTATTTTCCAAGGTGCATCTGAATAGTTGATAATAGCCCATTGTTTTTGGTATATCTCTCATTATTATTTAAGCTGTTTGCACGTTAGCCAGCAATGAACAATAATGCTAACTCTGACACTGTCATGGTTGTTTTGTTTAGGTGTCATTTTATGAGTGATATTCACAACATCATTTATGTTTAGGGTTTTATTTTCCTGAAAGTGATTATGTAGTTTGATCTTGAAGTTTGCAAATATAATTAGATGTTGCTTATACATACTTAAACAAAGGACGTTAGTTAGCAGCTAACTTCTGCTTATATTTGGCAGCAATGTCAAATGTCAACAACTTCATCACATCATGAACTCAAAACATATGAAGCATGTTACACCTCTGCCAAGTCAGTCTATGTTTTGAGGCAAAGGTTTTACAAGGAGTTAGTGGCCTGTTAATCTAAGCCTGAGGTGAGTGATGATGAAGATCACTCATGTTCATGACTGGGTTGGCATTCGCCACATGACAGTCGCCGCATGACAGTCAGGGACAAGCTTAGCCAGATTGGTTCCTTTGATAAACAGTCTGCTCTCAACTGTGTTATTCCACTGTCTTTCTCCTGAGCCATTAAACCTGCACAGATGATAGAATCTTCCCTCCTCCCAAATAGCTTTTGTCTTTTTCTACCCACTGCTTAGTCAGACTAAGTCCCAAGTTCTTGCTAGTTTACTTTTCCAATTAGCTCAGACGATGGTGGTCAATATTGACTGAGGATAATACTGTGTGAATCTCCTCCTATTGTGTTGCTGACACAAAGAAACCATAAATAAAACGAAGGGGATTTGGTATTAGCACAGCACTGACATCTGCCTTTTTGTCATGTTTTTAACTAGCAGGTGTTTTCCCAGTCTAATTGACTTTTAATTTGCTTTTAATTAACCCTTAAATCCAAGGTCATGTACTTGCTGCCAAATGCTTGGTTGTCAAATTCTGAATTAATGCATACATACATACAACAATTCACTGAATGAGTTTAGAATTCCATTATTTAAAACAGGTTGACTCTTTCCATCGCCGCCTGTTCTCTCTGCCCCATTCTGATGGAAATGGAATTTTGTTTACTCTTACAATTAAGGGATTTTCATGCAGTGATCTTAATAATCCCCTTACTCTATGCTAATGACCGCAGCCACGGCCAATGTTCCTACTGGTTGAGCTTGTAGTTAGTATGCACAACAGGACAGAGGTAGAGCCAGGTCTGAACATAGCTGAACAGCAGTTTACTTTTAATCATACCAGAAATGATACAGGCACTGGGATTAGGCATTTGCCTGTTGGCACATTAGCTAAGGCCGCGCTCTTCTATTAGTCCTTATCTTGCAGACTTTGGTTCACTGCTGAGCTTCACAACAAGGAACATGTTCAGTTACACTTATGTTATATATATATATATGTCTATATCTATATATATGAAAATGCTACCTCCCCATTAGCTTTGGATCAATTGGATGAAACTCACTCTGCTGTTTATATACAATACTGAGAAAAACTGGTAATTTTCTCTTCTCACCTGTATATACAGGTACGCATGTATTTCCTGATTTTAAAAAATCAAGGAATTTTGCTCACTGACCCACAAATATACATAAAATATGCACAATTCTGTAACATCTCTACACAGATGAAGTTTACGCTCTGACTAATTTTTCATTTACCATGTAAATTATTATTGCTATAAGATTCTACAAAACTGAAAATAATATTTTTAAATTGAAATAATTTAATGAATTAAGGAAAATGGGTATAAATATTCTTAAACTACAGTAAAATTAGTGTGATTTTTGGCAAAAAATATGCAGAAATGTATACAAAAGTGTCATTTAAATAAGGTCATACTTTGGTCAGAAAAACATAAAAAATAATAGAAGAATTTAGGAGGCAGTGAAAGGGAGATACAGGAAAAACATTGAGGTGAGGTGAGTAACAAGGTGAGGAGAAGCCAGGAGGAAAGTAGGTAAAGAGAGAGGAGCACAGTGTCTTTGCCCGAGGCTCTGCAGTAGATGATGAAGCAGAGGCCAGTTAAGATCTCTTGGTAACCACAAGCTGCGTGTCTGTGTACGTGCATGAAAACTAAAGATCCTCTTCATTTCCACACCTTACACTGCAATTATGATGAGCCTGCCTTTCTCTTTCACTCCGTGCCTCCAACTACGCCCAGGGCTTTTACATCACTGTTCCCTATCTGCTTCCTACTCACTGTCACTCTTGCCGTCTCCACCCTTCACGCCTTCCACCAGCCTCTAATTAGCCGATCTTAGTAGATCCCTGGGAAGAACAGACACCAGGAAGGGTTGTTGAGAGGCGGAGGAGGATCAGTGAGAGGGAGTTGATAAGGGAAATGAGAGTCGTTAGTGAGCTAGATGGGCCAAACAACACAGGCCTCTTTGGAACCAGATGAATGGAGGGATAACCTATAAGAGGTAGCCAGAGATTAGGTCAACGACTACTTTATATTATGAACGTAACAAAAACAATCTGAGGTTATATGGGAACCAACGAGAGTTGCCAGGCTGTTACCTAATTACTCTGTGTAGTTATATTTAATCGCTCTGTTGATACAGGCCTTTCTGTCACAGTTAAATCCTTGATTACATGTTGAGATACACTTTAGTTCACAACGTTAACACGCACACTAGCATGTTTTACCCATTTCTCGTGCCAGTTGCAAATGTGGTTTGTGCGCCTAAAGAGTGGGCGTGAGTACGGACTATGAGATGACAGATTTGGGACGGAACAGGATGTGAGGGGGGAAACTGCAACACGTAAATTACAAAATGAAGCACAACAACTAGATCACCATTATTAAACATTAGAAAAAGAAAATATCCTTGAAGCAGAAAAACATCGACTTTATTCATGTGGAATATTAAAGCACTACTGAGCAGAGAAGAATTTTGAGATTTTGGGTCAATCATTGATCACTATACACACTATACTATTTCTAATAGTTTTACCCACCCCAGTGGGCACTCTCAGCAGCTCCCCAGTATTGGGCACATTTTGGGTGCTGGGATTCAAACCTTTGATCCTTCAGGTTAAAGCCCTGACCTCTTTCCAGTAATGGAGCAGACTAAATAATCATTATGATTTTAATAAGCAGTCTTCCACTGACGGTTGATTTCTGTCACGTTATTGTCAATGCCCATTGGTCTGTTATTGTTAGCTCAAGCCCCATGGTGGGCAGAGGAGTTAATGTAGAAAATAACATTTGTTGTCTCTGCAAATGTAGGAATCTAAGTAGCAGCGTTGTTTGTTTTTTTCCCTCTTTTATTTGTTTTGCAGTATGATCTCTGCAAATCAATTCCACCGGTATTTTATGTGTTAGCAATCCCAATCAAAATCCCAAGAGCCGGAACTAGTAATTTTATTTTTATGGCGGTATGATTGCACACTGCTAAAGTGTGCATATGTATGTGTTGGTGCATGTTTATGCAGAGCGCCTGTGTCCCTGTGGTGATTTAACATCGCTACTCTGTTATTTATCACAGCGCTGCCGTTGGGGGTTGGGAGGGGCGGAGAAAAGCAGTAAACGCATTGGCATTACATCAAGCTAACGTTGACATAAATCTTAGCAGGTGACAGTTAGCATCACTGCCAACACCATCAGCATCAGTAGCCAAACAAACAGAGAACGGGACATGTGTGTTGGTCCACAGCAAGGAAAGCCTCACTTTGCCTCAAGATATTCTGGCAGCAGTTATGGTGTATCATAGTTAGTGTCTGTGGGTGTGTATGGGAGGAGGGGATGGATTGGGGTGAGTGTTTTGAGAACATTCTGCTGTTCCTGACTGAGTGAGAAGGATTTTTTTCCAGTGTTTAGTTTTGTGTCAGGATTAGACTTGTGATCAGATTAGATTTATGGTAAGGATAAAGATTAAGAATATATTGGTTATTGTCAATGTCATAGTTAGGGGCTAGGAAGCATTATGTTTATGTGTAGTCCATGTATATGTGTATACAAAACACAAATCTAAATATTAGGAGAAATTATTAATTAAGAACAGTGTACTGTGTATGTTTGCATTAAGGCTCATTTACAGGTCATGGTTTTCATTGTTATTTGGGCAAATAATGCATTTGTGTTTTAATCTATTTCTATCTAACAATCTACCGTGAAATAATTTCAAATATGTGATGCTGCATGTAAATGTATGTATATATATAGTCTTTAATGCATCTGTAGAAACTGAAGTGTCATAAAGGGAAAAGCAAGGTGTTAATGAATTAGTGAGGATGTGTGTGTGTGTGTGTGGGTGTGTGTGTGTGTGTGGGTGTGTGTGTGTGTGTGTGTGTGTGTTGTCAGGAGTCGTTGAAATTTGCATTTTAATTCATATCTCCATGATGTGTTCTCATAAAGACAGATGATCCAAGAAATACTGCCTGGCTCTGGATTTTTGGTGCTTGTCTTAGAAAGTGATGTTTTAAAAATCTTTTTAATATTAAACTACACTGCAGTTTAATACCAAATACTTTATAAATGGTTGAGTTTGTCAGGAAATTTGAATATGTATTTTGGTATTTCACATAAATCTTTATTTAACAGGCAAAACTAGCATCTGATTTGTTTAATTCAGTCAGTATAGTTCAAAAATCCCGCTGTGAAGCTGCAACATTGTCGCATGATCAGTTAGAAAATTTGAGTGTTTTGCATGTATCAATAATGAGGTTTGATCCATTCTTTAAAAAGTAAACCCAATTATTCTTGAATTAGATATTAGGGTTCATTATTTGGGAAATTAGCAAGTGTGTGTGTGTGTGTGTGTGCAATTGTTTATTTCCATGACATCATCACCAGGTACAGCAATCTGAGTGTCATCGTGTTAGGTCACACTCCACTGCTTCCCCCCCGCAGCTCCTCACACCCTCAAAAAAACAGATGAAATTTATTGTTCCTATTGTTCAGAATGTATTAGCTGGAAGAGAAGTGATTAAAAATGGATTGCATCTCTCTTTGCTCTCCCACTCATTTTAGTTCTCCAAATATGACCCGCCGTTCTTAGGAAAATGAGATTTTGAAGAGCAAACACCCATGAACCCCCGTCAACGCCCAGCCATCCCCCACACTTGCTCTCTCCCCACCACTGAACTCACTCACCCTGTGTGTCATTTATCTATAATGACTTTGTGAATAGTCTTACAGAGCGTTTCTCTCTCACTGTCTCTCTCTCTCTTACCCACGCAGCCATCCATCCAGTCAGTCACTCAGCCTAACCCAATCAAGTGGCTTTTAATGAACTTCAAACAAGTGTTATCAGCCAGTTTAACGCACGACACGCTTCACTCCCCCCAGCTTCACCCAGACGGGGTTTCACCTTATCTACTCTGCTCCTTTTACCCTCTTTCCTCTTGCCTCTTTGACATGCACAGACTTCACAGACGTCACACGGCTTAATGGTGTTTTTTTTTTTTTTTTTTTACTTCTTAGGTCGTTCTTTATTCTTTTGTTGTTCCTCTCTTTTTGTCTGCTTTTCTTTCAAATTCACAGCTCTTCCTACAAACACGGAACAGTTTGAAAAGGACTTAGTAAACTCTTGTCCTCTATTTACTACCATAACTGTTTTCTTAACCCACTCCTAATCTTCCTACTTATGATTTCTACTTTTTTATTTTCTTACCACTGCTTTTCTCTCTACTCGCCCTCTGACCTCCTTTATTATAATCTTTATTCTGTCTTCTTCTTTCCTGCTCGTCACCTGTTCAATTCTCTTATCTGATATTATCTCTTCTCATCTACTCTCCTCTCCTCTGGAAGGTATCTTCTCTAAATTTAGCTTATACCTCACACCTGAATTGATTGAATGTTAAATTTAGACTCTCAAATGCTAAGGTAGTACTTTCTCTCTAATGCTCCCTCTCTTTCCTGAATACTAACACCAACCCACGATTTATCCACTGCTGATTTTCCCCCACGAATACAAACATCAGTCAAACATTAAGCCATTAATTTTACCTCCTGTGGATGATGACAATAGAGTACTTCTATTTAAGTGGCCTTAACAAAATCTTTAGGTCCAAGGACCGACACAAGAAGCGCATTACGTGCAAAAACTAAGCTAGAACTACAGCAAAATACATGCTATATTTTTTTTCTTCTGATTCACTCAAGGTCATTGAGGTGAAACCACGTGCAAAACACACTGTAGTTACTGTCCATCACAGTTGCAAAAGAAACAGTATTGATCATTCTTTGTTGTTTTTGCTGCTTTACAGGGGTGCCCCCAGCTACTGCCAGCAGAGAGGATCCTTGTTCCAGTCAACGTGGTGAAGCCCATCACTCTGAGAGCCAAGAACCTCCCACAGCCTCAGTCCGGTCAGAGGGGATACGAGTGTGTTCTGACCATCCAGGGAAACGAACATCGGGTTCCAGCCCTGCGGTTTAACAGCTCCTCTGTCCAATGTCAAAACACATCGGTATGTGTCAGTGTGTTCTAGTTCAAATGTGTATCGATATATTATTAACATGGTTCTGCTGAGGAACCTGTGGGGACTGATGTCAGCAGGGTGTCTGAAGTTGAGGCTTCCACAAACATGAGCGAGGTGTTTAGAGGGTGATTAGTCGAACAAAACACAACTGTTTACCATGGAGTAGGAGAAGAATAAATGAATGGACGGTGGTATTTTTGATGACATACAGTCTGTGTCATTCTAACCATGCATTAAGATGCTTAAACATTTAAATCTGATTCATTTCACAAATTACCTACTGCAATGATACATTTTTTCAAACAACTCTGGTATGAGTTATATTATTTGTACCGACTTGAAATGATGTTTCATTTTAATAACTGTTTTTAATTGGCAAACAGTTGTAATTCTTATCCACAAAACATTACGGTAATTAATGCACACAAATTAGTATTTCATCACCATGGGATGTCATTTGTACCTGAAAATGCAGAAAGTCCGATAGATGTTGGTGTGATCCTGATGGATGCCCAGTCTCCTAAACATTAATAAAGAGATCATCACTATTAAATCTCTGTTACAAGCAGTCACTCCATGTGAGGGGCTTTTCCTCTACCATCTTGGCAGTAGATTAGAAGAGACGAGAGCCAGACCTTGTCTCACTTACTCAGCCCTCCCTGCAATCAAGCTCCATTTACTGACTGAATAATCCATTGACAGAAATGAAGGACTAGTGTGGAAAATTTTTCTTACGCTGCCTCGATGCAAATCATGTGTTGATACAATAACACCTCATCTTCCTGTCTATCTTCATCACTCTGAGAGTGTATCTGTGTCTGCATGCAGAGACGTCTGTAGGATTGGTGTGGGTAATCACAGCAAAGATCCAAATATTGTACTTAGATCGAGCCGCGATGGAGGGAAACTGTAATTTAGCGGAAAATTATGAGTCAAGCATCAACACTCCACACTCCTGTTGTACAGAACCAAATTTTAAAAAAAATGATCTGGGCTTTTAAAACTTGCTAAGTTGTATATTATATCATGTTGTTTGCAGTGCCACCTGTTGATGATGCATTTTTATTCAATAATAACAGTGGCTTTTGGACTTGGGGATAATAGACGATTTAGAGTAGCTTCTATTTTACCGTCTTTAATACTCTTTTTCTAATCTCTTCCTCCATCCATGGTTGCCATGGTGACAGTATTTCTACGATGGGATGGAGATGAGCAGTCTTCCTGTGGAGCTGACCGTCATCTGGAACGGAGATTTCAGCATCGACAACCCCGCCGCCAACAGTGGTGAGCCTGAGCACGATGTGCTCACACGTGCATTCATGCATGTGTACAAACTAAAGATGTGCTTGTGTGTCAGATGCATACACACACAAGCCTTTCGCTTCGTCATTTCTCGCCAGTTATCGCTGTGTCACCACAAACCGCACACACAGATAGTTGATAAAGTCAGAGATGAACTCGCACTCGCATAAACATGAACTCACACGTTGTAAAGCCACTGCCACCCCATTACTGCCCTTGGAGCTGGTTTCCATGGCAACAGTCGGGGCGGTGTGCTGAGGTGCAGCTTCCATCCCTTAATGCTGTTGGTGTGCAGAGTGGTTAACTTTAACACATCCTCTGTTACACTTCACTTCTGCAGGTCTCTTCTCCTTCCCTTCCCCTGTCTCCATCTATTTCCATCTGTCTGTCTTACACTTGAATGTTCTGCCTGTCCGTCTCCAGAAAACAACTTGAAATTCCATTTTCTCGACTCCCCTCAAATACCATTTCTTTTCGGCTGTTTCTCTTATTTGCCCTGTCAACAGCCCTCCCTGGAAATTTGGCAATCTATCAATCTTCACTGCCTCTCTCCTGCCTTCATTTCATCTTTTTCATCTCAGCAATTCAGTGCACTTTACTGGCATACATTTCTAAAATGCAATATTGGAAAGGTGAAGGTGCTTCTCAAAAGATTAATAGAGGTAAACAAACAAGAATATTATCTGAAAATAAAATTAATTTAGAAAAGCCAATCTGTTATTCTCCACCTTACTGACAATAAATCACAAGCCTTAAGTTACTGTATGCAGGTGATCCTATACTGTACATTCTTAGCTACAGTGCATATAAATGGCATTAGCCAGAACTACTTTATATGGCTTAATCTGTTTAAAACAACAAACAAGAATTCTTGAAACTTGCTAAGGCCCAACATTTTCAATATTGTAATATAAATAGACTGAATATCTTCTTTTACCTTATTTTTCAGCCCATGGAAAATGTACTGGGCTATAAAGTTTTGCTAACTAACAGCTAACATAGTAGCAACACACTCATACATTAACTTGAGACTTGTCATGTCAAAGGATAAAATACTGTATTTCATATATATTGTATAAATATATTTAAAATATGCTTTACTCTCTACTACGCTCATCCTATCATGTTGTTTGCCTAAGCTTAAATTGTGAAGACTCTTATCCTCAACAATAACAAACATAGTAGAATGGTTTTATATTGCCTCCATATGAGTGAAACATATTGTACAAGACATATCCCTGAGCATAACCACCTTTGGAGGAACAAGATCTCAGTGTTGTCATTGATGGACAGATCACACATGCATCTAATCGCAATTAAAAAGAAAATGGCTGGCCAGTTGCCATGGAGATGTTATGGTTAATGTGTGATGTGTGAACATAGGAAAGAGTCAGCAGCGTGTGAAGAAACTCCTAAAGCGGCTGATAGATAGAGAGATAATGAGAATAAGACCCCAAAGAGCTAATCTCATGGCAGACTTTATGTTGTTTTGTATTAATTTAAAGTGTTTGTCCTTCATTTGAAAGTCTTTCAGACGGATTCATATTTACACATTTGCACTTTTGTAGTCATTTGTCAAAGGTTGCTCACTTGTTTACTTGTCTCTTTCCCCTTCTACTGTCTCTCACTCTCTTCTCTCCTGCTTTTGCTGCACAGTCCATTTGTACAAGTGTGATGCCCAGCGTGGAAGCTGCGGTTTGTGCCTGAAGGCAGACCCACTGTTTGGCTGTGTTTGGTGTAAGGGAGAGAACCGCTGCACCCTTAAGCAACACTGCCCCCACCCTGAGAACCAGTGGCTGGAGCACAACGGCATTAACAGCAAGTGCACCCACCCACGCATCACACAGGTGAGACCCTCGTGTCATTGTTCATACATTGTTTTCACATTCAGCATACACCACCATAATGAACTGTATAATGTGTTGCACGCACGCACACTCTATGCTTTAATTACTGTGCACCAGAGAGAACATGCTCATCAAACACTGTGACAGTTGTTCATTTAAACATAATGGCAGAGCTGAGTCACCACGAGCTATTCAGTGTGACAAACTTCTGCTAGAACAATGTGCTTCTCACCTTTTTTCATGTCACCCATCGAGAGGTTTTAACAATACTTAAAATCACAATAGCAGTGTCAAGGTTTGGCATTTCCAATATCACCTCTTAAAACTGAGTGGGATACAAGTTATCACTCTGTTGCTTTGAGTGTAGGAGTATGCAGACAGGCAAAAGACAACCTTTATCTTTGGGTTCATAAATTATTATTCAGTTTAGTTGAAAACAATTTTGCTGAAATAAAAACGATTAATTACAAAAGATTAATTAAGCTGTATAAAACCAGGGCAGCAGCACCAAGGATAAGATGATACACATGATGTACTAGAAAATACAGTTATAGATAAGTGGTCCAATAGTAAATATTTACTATTGGTAAACAGAGCCAAAATATAGTAGCCAGTATACTTATGACAACTGCAATAATAAGAAAATGTTGTCTGGTGTTGAAGTGAAGTGAGAGTTAATAAATGAGGAACAGAGAGAGGAATAACTATAATAATTTGACGTCTCAGAGAGTGATGAGTTTCTAGCCCCTCAGAGTATACCACATTGGTTTAGTTATACATAGTGCTTAAACTTTCGATTTTCAGAGAAGTCACATCTCCAAACACTGTAACAAATGGACTAATCTTTCCCAAATGTCATGGATGACTTCAGTTTCATTAAGTTTTTTTTTTTCATCTGGATGATTTAAAATCAAATCTTTGGTAAGTTAATGAAAATTTGGTGATATTCCATTGAGATTGTCAGACTTTACTTTGGCTCATGTCCCCAAGGATGTGATGCACCGATACGTTCTCACATCCCTCATTCACTTTATAAAAACTGTCTGTAGGTGTCTGATCCAAGATGGTCAAAAAGATTCATAACGCATTCTTATTGAATGACACCAAACATTAACAGCTTAATTGATAGAGATTTGAAATTAAATGTGTAAGAAACAGAAGTGAGGGAATAAATGTGATCTTTTTCCCCCCATCTGTCCAATCATCAATTATAATGTCAGGAATCTAATCAACACCTCTTCGAATCTCTTTCATCTTTTGCTTCTTTTGAACCTCCCTCCTACAGTCCTCCAAAGGTTTTCTCCCTCTCCGTCCTCCATGTTTGTGAATAAATTGAGAGCTTTGATTGAATGTGTGCAATCTTTTTAATTGCACGTATTGTATCCTGATTCCCACAGGGCTCATTTTTCATTAGCATATCAGCAGGGAGGTTTAATAATCAGACACTGAACTGTACAATAATGATATCTACCAGACACATGACAGCCATAGGACTTTGGTGAAACATGACCTAGCTTCGTCTTTCCTCTGTTATTCCATTGACTATGTCCCATGAAGTTCAGATGTGTTTTTAATTTTTCTTAGGAAAATAATCAAACAATTAAGTCTAACAAATGGGTTATCCTACTGCAAACTACACTAGCTTCGAGTCATTATTGTACCTGTAATGAGCGAGGGTTTAAGAAAGTCTCACATGCATAGTAAGACAGTGAGTTTAACAGCAAGGCTTGAACTAAATGAAAAACACCAGGATGACTATTTTTCAGGCAGGTGGTGACACAGCACCATTAGAGCTGGCTCCCTGCCTGCAGCATTGAAGACCTGTAGTTGGCAGAGACAGATAGGCTGGACTATGACGTGTCCCCTCTTCTTACATCCATCCATCTGATCTGGCCTGATGGTGTGAGCACTCACGCTAACCAACTGAAAAGTAGTGTTGTGTTAGTAGAGTTTTGATGGATGCTGAGCCACTTTACCAAAGACAAATGTTGTGATAAATCAAAGGTTCAGGTCAGCGCAAATTTGTCTCTTATTGTGTTTTAAGTCAATCACGGCCATTAGTCCCAGTGAATGTGAGATTGAGATCCAACACTAACTGAGCGAGAGCCTTGACCTCAGACTGTCATAAAAACAATAATCTTGTCATAATCTATTCTGTCCTGTCACCTCCACCATCGCCCACCCTTTAACAGAGTACTTTCAGAGTAACATAATATGTGGGTGTGGGGGAGTAATGCTTTAGAGAGAAAATTTAAATTTGAATAAAAACAATATGATTAAACTTTAAAAATGTATGTTTGAATTTCCCCAGATCACTCCCCTTCGTGGTCCCAGGGAAGGTGGTACACTTGTGACTATTCGGGGTGAAAACTTGGGTCTGGACTTCAAAGAGATCCAAGGAAACGTGAAGGTGGCCGAAGTGGACTGCATACCTATACGTGAAGGCTACATCCCAGCTGAACAGTAAGTCACATCACACCCTCATGGCATTATTGCATTGTTACTTTGATGACATTTCAAAGATTGTTAAGTTATCAGTTACGATGAGAATATTATAGTATATGAAAACTGCAACAGAGCTGAATCCATTAGCTTAGCTACACAACATGCTAACTAGCTTTAACTTCGGTGTTTTCAACTTTTCTGTCATCGGATTCTGTAATTTTATACAATAGGCCATAATCTCTATTCATGAGGCTATTTAGACAAAGATTTAACCCTAACCATCACTCGTGTAAATGTTGAAATGTAGATGTTGAGCCAAGTCAGAGGTGCGTGGAGTAAGATGTGCTTTCATTTATCATTGTAGCCTACACACACATTCACACAAGCACACACAGTCCCACACTCCCTGCAGAAAGTTCAGGGTGCTACATTTATTTGACACTTGAGTTTGTGTTATTTTTATTGGAGGTGGCGTTTATCAAATTATTTTAAACTAGTTTAAAGTTGGCTTATCACCAGACCCAGTGCAGCTTCTGCTCAGAAAGTAACTTGTGTGCCAGCAATTTTTAAGCAAACGCTGACCCAGCACAGGAGGTACAGGCTGTGTATGAGGTCATTTTCAAAAAGGATAGAGAGTTTTTTTTTTATTATTTGCTCTCCCACAACTTGGCAGTGCATCGGAGATGAAGCTGGTGCCAAACAAAACACTATTTTATTGAGGTTTAACATGCAATTTTGGATCAATTTTTAATACATAATCAGACTTGCTGGCAAGGCAAACTGCAGCAGGGGTTTCCAAAGGATGCTGCAGATGCATTTAGTGTCTGCCATGTCCAAATGGGATGTCTTTAGGCATTTCAATGTATTTTATGACTTACATTTGACACAATTTTTGTGTTTTTCAGGATTGTTTGTGAAATGGGCAAAGCAGAAAAGAGCCAGTACACAGGCAACGTGCAGGTCTGCGTGGGGGTTGGAGAATGCAGTTCAGAGTTCAAGGCCAAATCCTCCAAGTACTACTACTTTGTGGTGAGTCTGCATTGTTATTTCATCATAAACCATGTTTTCTTTTACTTTTTTTGTCAATAAGCTGCAAGGCAACCTCCCTGCATTGAGTGTGACATCCGTTCGCTTGTCAGACACCTTGCTGGTTGTTGGTCTGTGTTCTCACCTGCTGTGTCGAAGCTGTATGTACGAGTCAGTTTCCTTGTAGCTTAGACTTGGCTGTGATCTGCCATGGTGTGGATCTCACCGAGGGTGAGTCTCACACTCGCTTCTCTCATGCATGACTCAGCAGTGAGACACGGCTGGCAGACACTAATGAGTGCAGAATAAGATGGAAAACACACCGTGTTTCTTTTGCACCACAAAGCCGTGCGCACAAACACACTTTCTGAAATAGATTTAAGGTTGTATCCATGGTGCAGTCATTTTATGCAGTGTTATCATTTTTACTGTCATCCATTAAGGGGTGCTGACCCAGCTTTATATCTCTATGCAGTTCTTGACTTGAATTATAGCATGTTTGGTTTGGTTTATGTCTCACCCCTACTGAGCAGAGATTATAAGAAGGCCAAAATACACAACCTGCAATTTTTCTACATCTCCATAAAATATGTCTACACAAAAAACAAATACAGCATATACAAATATCCCCCTCTTTCACGGCAGACTGTGTTTGTTAAACAATGATTTTAATACTCACGCATTGAATAAATCCAATATAACCTTTGTATAAATAGGAGGATATCAGATTTTTTTTAAACAGTTTTTTTTTGTTTTTGTTTTTTTTACTGTTTTCTAGATCCCGAGGATTATCAACATCAAGCCCAGCCGAGGGCCTGTGTCTGGAGGAACTGTCGTCAACATCACTGGCAGCCACCTTGACGCTGGAAGCAATGTGTCAATCATGTTCAAGGACCAGCCATGCACTTATCTAAGGTTAGTTGGGGAACAAGTCAGAAATGACTGTGTCAGGCACAAATGAAAAGTCGGCAAATATGTGTTTGTCAGATTATTAAGAGCTTATCTGCATCATCTATATCTGGCATAAAATGCTAATAAAGCAGTGTGATAGCGTTGTAAAAATGTGTTTTGGATGATTGGACATGGCTCGTTGCTAAATAACAGCTTTTACAAGCCTTTATCACAAACACCAGCTGTAATTACACATAACATTATAATCCACCACATAGCTCTGACCAAATGCAACATTTAAAGTTCAGTCGATGAACGTTGTTAATTTCCGCTTCACAAACTATTTATGCATCTCAAATATTATGAATAGTATTGGATTTGAATATTCCAGGAGCCTCTAGCCTTTAAACCTGATTTAAAACTTTTGAACTGTTCGTCATGACTGACCGACGAGGTGTCATCATCTCCACAGGAGGGGAGGCCAGTGGCTCACCTGTCGAACCCATGCTTCTCTGCAAGGCTATGGAAACGTCTCTGTGTCTGTGAGCATAGACAGGGCTCATCTCCAAAAAGACCTGCGGTTCGAATACGTGGAGGATCCCACCATTTTCAAGATAGAGCCTGAGTGGAGCATCTACAGGTATGGTAGAGAGACATTGTATTTTTTCATGTTACATCGGCTGCATGTTCCAGTTTAAACCATTGAATAAATACCACAGAATAAATATGTGGAAAGCATACAAGAAATTAATGTCACCAAGGTTGCCATTTAGAATATTTCAGCACTACAGCCAATTGTAAACTATGTAAATTGCAGTTTAATATCGGTGTGACCTTCCCTTTTACAGTGGTCATACACCAGTAACGGTGATGGGAACTAACCTGGATATCATTCAGACTCCACTCATCAGAGCCAAATACAACGGCCATGAGACACTGAATGTAAGTACTTACATTAGAAAATAGAAAAGCTTTTTTTTTTTCAACTTTTGTCTATTTCTAGAATAATTGTGTAGTTATAAAAGTCAGTAATAATGAAACACACCTGAAGTGAAAGAAATTACTTTGGCTCATTTAGTAAATTAATTGAAAGAAAAAGAATGTCTAGTTATAAATGAATTAAAAAAGAACTGGTTACAGTTTTAATTAAGTGAGAATATTGTATTTTTCATTCAGCAGCAACATTCTGACACTGACCTAAAAGCTACAGGGTTCTTTTTATCTTTTATTCAGCATGGTTTCCCTGGAGAAGATATATAAAGACACACAGGGGTCTCAGTGATCAAAGTGAAATTAGAGAAGGCAACAAAAGGTGGTAACGTTATCTCCACGGTTCACTTGAGCATGAGTTTGTGCCACGTTTAGCATCTGTGCTCACTTGTTCCTTCACTGGGCTGTGTGTCCCAGTGAACTACCTGGGTTGGTAGTTCCTTGTAGGAACATTATTCCGACTTTTTACAGGGTTGCAGAGATTTTTTTATTTTTCTGTTTGTTTAGTTTTGCAGCTTCTCGCTAGAAGCAGCAGGACAATATATATCTGTACTGTCCTGACGTACTGGAGGATTCGTCAAGTATGAAGCCAATTAAAGTGACAGGGAAAAACTGTACTTTGCAGGCGGCACAGCAGAGGTTACGGTAGAAATGTGAAATGTCTGCAAATAAGACAAAAACGTGTCTAAATAACATCCATGCGTTGGTTGATTTGTCACTACGCTGTCAGATGGAGAGAAATGGAGACATCAGAATGATATTGAAAAGGTGCAGGGCACGACAACGGCTGATGTGAGTGTCCGTCAGACAAAAGAAAAGATCACAGAGAGGAATAACTGGACTGGGAATAGTGAATTGAAAAAATAGTGAATTGAAAAAAAGTTTTCATGGTGGATTGAAGAAAGGGTGAGACCTGGTTATCACTCGGGTATTTCACCTGTTCAGGTATGATGGAGGAGCATTTTGGAGCTTTTTTTGGACAAGATGATGGGCAGTAGTTTGGTGTATCATCAATATATAGTTCTTATTTCATAACAGATAAAATCTGTCTGTGAACCCACTAAAATTGTATCTAGTTTTTTTTTCATGAAAATAGGGATAAACAAAATCAATAAAGTTTCCCAAAATATGAGATTATGAAATGATAGAATAACAATACAATAACCCTAACGTAGGATACACTGACTGAACATATTGGGATCAGGAAACTATACAAAACTTGCTCTTTTGTTTTTATTTACACAAATATTTTTCACCTCAGCTGTGTCAGGTACTCAGCCCTACGATCATGCAGTGCCAAGCTCCGGAGCTGCCCATCAGCTTGGCCAGGCAGCAAGAGGTGCCTGAACGACCCGATGAGTTTGGCTTCAAACTAGATGACGTTCAGGCTGTGATGGCACTCAACAACACTAACTTCATCTACTATCCAAACCCTGAGTTTGAACCTCTTACTGTGTCTGGCGTTCTGGAGCTTAAACCTGGATCACCAATCATATTGAAGGTACCGAAAGAACGTTAAGTGATGAGCTCACACTTATTGTCACTTCAGCATGAGTAATGTCTCGATGTAACATGTTTGGATTGTTGTCATTTTACCTTTTTTTCCCTCCAGGGACGTAACTTTTTACCACCAACCAACAGTGGAAATGGGAAGCTAAACTACACTGTTCTGATTGGAGAGAAGCCATGCATGTTAACCGTGTCAGAAACCCAGCTGCTTTGTGAATCCCCAAATCTGACGGGTCGGCACAAGGTCTTGGTGAGTGGACATTGCACAGGGCCCATTAAGAGAAGCTAATGTACAGGCTGTGTAGGCAGACAGACTACATCTGCTGACTGTTTGAAAGTCATTCCTTTTGTTGTCTTTTGTCTGTCCTCCTTCCAGACATGGTTCAGTTTTAATCCAATCAGCTTTTACTGCCCACAGACAAAAAACACCAAACAAATAAGCCCTCAGTAAAAAGGATTACAGGCCCAGAAAAGTCAATAGACGTTACATTTGTGGTTTTAGGAAGCTCCACTTTGAGCAAAAATTCTTCCTAATGTTACCACCTGGATGTGGCATCATATAAAGAGATTGACACTATAAAGCGATTCAAAGTGTGTACAAACTTCAGTCAAAAAAATCAATATGTCTGCCTGGGCTTTAATCCTGGGTGTGAAGACAGGAATGCTTTTAGGAGCTAAAAGTGGTTCACAAGAGAAATATTGGTTTTTGTAAGTATTTGTGATGCTTTTACTGGAAGAGTATTTAACTTCTCTGCTTGTTTGGCTGACACTTGTCCTCACCTCCTTCTTAATTTTTACTGAACCCTCTCCAGGTGTTTTTTTCAGAAGTGACATTTGAAATAATATCGCTTCTCTCATTGCCCTCCATATCTCCAGCACGTTCAATCACTTGTCTCCACCTTTGACTTGGAATGCTTACATGTGGCTCTTTGCTATAACAGCACTTCATTGAGTATCTTTACATGCAGAATTAAAATTTGCCTCTTCATCCTATACAAACAGGCACGTGTGGGGGGCATTGAGTTTTCCCCCGGTGTGGTCCTCATCACGTCCGACACACAGCTCAGCAGCACAGCCATCATAGGCATCGCAGCAGCTGGAGCCATGCTCATCCTCTTCATCGTAGCTGTGCTCATAGCCTACAAGCGCAAGTCTCGTGAGAGTGACCTGACCCTGAAGAGACTGCAGATGCAGATGGACAACCTGGAGTCACGTGTGGCCCTGGAGTGTAAAGAGGGTAAGAGGCTGTCATGGAGCTTGTTTTGAATTGTTGATATCAAATGCCATCAATTATCATGTTTTTAACACTAGGAAACCAAGAGACCAACTTTTAAAAAGTCTATTATACTATTTGGTGTATAGACTAATAAGCATTTCATGGTTCTGAATCCTCCTTCAGCTTTTGCGGAGCTGCAGACAGACATCCACGAGCTTACCAGTGATCTAGACGGTGCAGGAATCCCCTTCTTGGACTATAGGACCTACACCATGAGGGTTCTATTCCCAGGCATTGAGGAACATCCTGTACTCAGAGACCTAGAGGTATGGCAGAGCACCTTTACTTCAAATCACATTTTCAGAAAAGTTGGTAAACTTCCTTATATTCTAATTAAAAACTTGTATATCTAAGGGATTCTTTTAGACATTGTACTTCGTTACTTTATACATTTTGTGGGTATAAAAAGAGCAAATAATATTGGACTGTTACATTTTTAAATGTAGAATTTGAACTTTGTCCGTATTAAAAAAATAGAGGTGCTCTCCCAAAGTGCAGGGTCAATTCCAAAGATCTCTCTGTCGGTCACATCCACACCCACTTAATGGTTTTGAGTCACCCATAAAATGGTGCAGTTCACCGTCTATCAAAACATACAAGGTAGGAGGTAGAGAGTTGTGCTCTGTTTTAGAATGGGCCCATGAGTTATGTTGATTAACACAGCATTGTCCACACAAATACATTAAACATAAACAGTTATAGCTTTCATTTTTGTTCCTTAATATTCAAATATCATTGTGTGTTGTTTTTCTTTATCAGATATCAAATAACAATCACAATCCAATTAGCCCTGTTTGAATCAAATGTAAAATGAGTGAGCAAATTACCATCGCGGTGGGTCGCAGTAGGTGAAATTAACGTTGATGTTGTTTGTGTCGCCGTCTGCTAAACAATAGCTTTTGTGACAACTGACAAGTTTTTCAAAAACAAACAGTGCAGCCCTCCATGCAGGGGCGCGCTCCCACTAATAAGTCTGCAATATGAGACGCTGAACCCTTTTCTCCCACCACCTCAAAAACAAATTAAAAGTCAATCAGAGGGAGAAAAGCATAAGGGATAAAACCAAGTCATTCATCCCTAGAGGTGACATTGATGGACAGCCGTAATTGAGCAGGTCGTCTTGTTCCATCAAAAGAATGATGGACCCCCATTTCACTGCCCTCAGGGTCGGCCACTCTGTCCCTGATGAAAATTTCCCCGTAATAAGCAATATTAATTATGCTTTAATTGCTTTAAATGCCAGACTGTATGAGAAGTGTAATATGAAGCTGGAGTCTAATGAAGAAAGCAGCAGGCCTGTCCTCTGCAGCTGATGGATGCCTAATTGTAATTGATGTGTGGGAGAGTGTAAAGTAATATGTGACTGTGGGCTGAGGACATACATTAATAGCACAGGTGATGAAGAGTCTGTCCATCTTTACAGGAACTGAGTGTGTGTCAGCTCAAAGGGGCCCTGAGTTCTGACATTCTTTATAGCTAATGAGGGTTTTTATACCTAGCACTAAATTCAAATTCTCACCATTTTTCTAGCTATTTCACGTTGCACTTTAAGTGTCATTTTGATTTTTGTTTTTGTAAGACCCTTTTCCTTTTTATATTTCACACTACTACCCTGATCTTTATGGGAAACTCCAGCTTCAGCAGTCCTTGTCATTTCACTACTTCACCTGTTGACTTAAACCAATATCTTTTTTTTCCTTTTTATACACACTGTTATTCTATAGTCCTTAAGAGGCTGTACAAGGTCTCCGCTTGCTTCTGTCTTTATGCTCGCAGACATTCACAAATAAAAAAGGCCAGCCAAACACATGTGCCAACACCAGCTCAGTACTGCATCCTGTCAAGTGGCATGAAATTAGACTTGCAGCTTAACAATAGCCCCCTGCAGATTACATGGAGTTCCTCCAGGAAAGGTAAAAAGACCAAACAGATGCTGTCTGACAGCTGCATTCAATGCAGAGGGATGCTTAGCAGGAGTGCTCTTGAGTGCAAAACCCCAAAACAAAACAACATCTCCATAGGTGCTTTGATGGAAGTGAAAGGAAAACAAAATCATGTGTGGCAGTTAAGGACTATTAATGATGCGCAGACAGTCTGGACTTAGACGGCATCAAAGTAATAAAAATAAATAAAAAAACACGATAAAAGACAAGATAAACTTTCAAAACTTTTTTTTTTTTAAATCTGTAAAACTTTTTTTCTCTCTGAGTAAATGTGTTCAAACCTACTGTACTACAGCTTATAATATTTATCAAAAATCAGTTACAGTACTTAAAGAGTACTTGTTTGTATTTTTTTTTCATTGACAGGAGTATAATTTCTCAAGTATAATTTACCTTATACACACACAGTTATCTCAAATAAGTTATCTCTAGATCTACAGCTGTATTATTTTAGGATTTAATTTGAAATTCTTTGAATTGCTGTAGTTTGACATAAAATGCACAAAAAAAAGAAAATATAGTTAGTTTAAGACTTAGGGTATGTTTTTACATTATTCTTTCTGTTTTTTTCTTTAAAAAAATAAATCTCTCTATCACACCTCCCTCCCCCCACCCCCCTTCGTCCTTTAGACAAGTAATTGTTTTGTCTCTTTCTTCACAGGTGCCTGGTTACCGTCAGGAGCAAGTGGAGATGGGACTGAAGCTCTTCGGTCAGCTCATTAACAACAAGGTCTTCCTACTGTGTTTCATCCGCACCTTGGAAGCCCAGCGTGGCTTCTCCATGAGGGACCGTGGCAACGTTGCCTCGCTCATCGTGACTGTGCTGCAGAGCAAGCTGGAGTATGCCACTGATGTCCTGAAGCACCTGCTGTCTGACCTCATAGAACGCAACCTTGAGAGCAAGAACCATCCCAAGCTGCTGCTGCGCAGGTAGGGGGCTGACAGACATAGCCAAACAATGTTACCCTCCCACCCCCTAGCCCTTCTCCACATATCACAAAGCCTATGGTGGCAGCACCTTTGATAATTATTGAAAACTACTGCAGACCAAGTTCTGCACTTAACTGAAACAAAGTCTTCCAAAGCTGCCTGGGGTGAAGTTAAAACATTTATCGATAAAAAAGAGTCTTCTTTTCAAGAGTTGTCAAAGACTAGTTCCAAAAGTGATTAAGGATAAAAAAAAGATATTATGATTAATTAGCAGATAATCTAATTACAAGTGGCCCACAGGGAAGGAACAATACCAATTTATGAAAAAGCAGCAGAGTGTGAAAAGATCACATTCTGGATCTCCTTTTGATATTTCAGACAACACATCAGTGGCATGCACTAAAATGACAGCACTGTCTGTGGTGTTTGGTAAATGTAGAGATCAAAGTGACTTGAGGAACAAGGTGTTTCTTGCAGTGGCTGCTACTATTACTGTGTGAGACGTTTGCTTGTCTGTAACATTTGGTGCTGATTTACTACTGTTGGGACCCAGACTCCACTGCATGATCACAAAGTGCCAAATAGTTGCTTATTTTGGGAACCACTGTGTTATATGAAAGAAAAAAAACATCAATACATATCCAATATTTCTGAACACTATTTTCTCCCATTGACCCCAAAACAAAAATAATACATTAGGCCTATCCTACCATAAATGCTGTCAATCACAGGTATCTCATGAAAACCTGTTCAGACTCTTCATGCTGCATGTTGTTGGTAATAGGAGATTAGTTCTGTCTGGGCAGGAGCCATGATTAATTGCAGCCAGAGTTCACTAGTCACAGTAGTGACACTAAACAACAGAGTAAAATTACTGATCTTGGCAGTAGATGCAACACAGGAGGAGACTTAAACAACAGAGACAGGAAATGGTAGTCAAGGACAACAAAGAAATCCAGGGCTTAGTCATCCTCACGAGGAAACTGACTTACTGGAGCCTGAAGGACGGTGCTGAAAACATTCTTCAGACAGGTCATATGCAAGGCTGGTTCTTCTGTCATTTGTGTTCTACGTTGTTTGTCATTTGGGAGGAGGGAATAAGAGCTTCTTTATCTACTCTTTGTTGTGACAGTGTTAAGTGGGTTACTGGGTTGTCCAGCCAAAGGGCAGGTGTTCGAGTCCAAGCTCAAACTGAAGTCAGTCATACCTCTGGCAGTTCTGTGTATGGAGCCTAAGGGAATGTTGCTCCCTAAAGATGTCAATACATCAGTGATCACGGGGATTCTAATGCCAATGAATCACAGAATTCCCAGATCATGAGGGAGGACCTGTGCAGAATCACATCTGTGGATTCTTATTATTGTTGTTTAACTTCTAAAAGGACTAAGACTAATGGGGAACAATTACAATATCTCCCACTCCTTTTTTTATCCTTGGACATGCTTATTTGTTTTTTGACATCCCAGCATGCATCTCAGATGTGCTGAGGATGTGTGAAGAAACTACACAGCCCCATAGGGTGAGCTGACTGGCATGTCCTTGGACTGCAGCTGAGAATAGTCCGGACGCAGAAAAACAAGGCTGAGGGGATGACGTTGTTCTGGTCTGGGGGTGATAGCATCACTTTCCCTCTTTTCTGCTCTTTATTTCTCTTTTATTGCCAGATCGGTCATTTTAGCTGCTGTTTCCATCTCTTTATGCTCACTCTCCACTATCACGCTCTGTTGTGCTGCTTGTGTCACACTGTTGCTATCTTTATCTCTCTTTTCTCTCCTCTACTAACTCCTTCAATCTATATTCCAAACACCCAACTACCCACCCCCACCCCCCCATTCTCCCCTCCCTCCATTTCCCCCTGCCCTGTTTTCGTGATTGCTAAATCAATGCCTAAAGTGCATGAGCAGTGGGTCTCTGGCTACCCACTGCCTCTGCTTCCAAGAAAACTGTGTATGTGCATGGACGTGTGTGTGCGTGTGTCACTCTTTTTTCTCTCTCACACAAACACACACATCCTTCCATCTGTCTCAGCTCAACCTGTGCTGAAGCGACGAGCACCAGGCAAAACTAACTAACAAGAGCTTTCCACGACCATCTGTCACATTTCTTACGACTTTCCCCTCCAACTCCTCCATCTCCGACGCATACATTCACTACATACTCTCTGCTGTCTGTCATGTTGTACAACACAGCTTTAGCCACCGCTTCCAGTTTTGTTTGGCCAAATTTTCTTTTAATAGTCAGAGGATTTAAAAAAAAAAAATGTTTTGCCTAAAGCAAAAGGGCTTTGTGTTTTAAAAAAACAACACAAAACCTGACCTTGTTTAACGAAGTAATATTTATTTAAATAAAGAACTTGTTTACTCAGTGGTTCCACATAATAAAACACGCCACAATATATCTGTGTGTAGGTATGTGTGAAAAGTATGTGTGAAAGTACTCATGTACCCGCAAGTTTTAAGTTGGGAGCTAGGTCAGGAAATGGAAATAATATTTGATTTCAAGCTGTGCTGGTGAAACATAGAGAAAGAGGGAGAGAGAGAGGGCGCTTTTATGAGATTATGTTTCTGTTACATCATATTACCATAAAGTTTTATATAAAAAGGCAGATCAATGGTGCCTAAAATATACATAATATATACAAAATGGTAGTTTGGTAATCCTCCTAAACTTTCACTTGGTAGAAAAAAAGGTCTATTTAATGTCCGGTCATAGGTAACTTTAGTCTCTCTGTTGGAAGAACATAATAAATATGACTTTTCCAGCAATGTCATACTTGTTTACTGTTGCTGCTGAAATCCTAATGTGCGATAAAAGCAGACCATCACCAGCTCTACGTCTAGTAAACACGGGATTAAGCACTGCCAAAATCCCTCTGCCTTTAAACTGTGTCTTCGGCTGCCATAGGCCACTCTGGCTGTGCCAGCATGTCACGTTTTGCACACTTATCGCACATCCTGGCGCCAACCCAAGCATGGTCTTTATTTATTTTTCAAAAGCAGCTGAGGAGAAGTTTGGCAAAGATTGTTTGATTAATGTTAAATCAGCATCACATCACGGCTTTTACCATCAGTCCCTTTGGACTGTGTTCTGATTGGGAATGAGCATAGGCAAACTGTTAGAGCCATGCCAAGACTTATTATTACTGCAGGTTTGGCATCCACTGCCACACACACACACACACACACACACACACTTTGAACTCCAGTCAGCACACATGGTAATTTCTGGGTACATACACACTGGGATTAATTTGTGCTTTTTGCATGCTAGCAATAAAACAGCCTCACACGTGTGCTACAAACAAAACCAAGGCTCAGTCTATTGGAAGTGGCAGACAGAGAGAGAGAAAAAGCAACTTTAGGGCAAGGACAAACTCTGCCAACCGTTCCTTCATGCTCTATTCTTCTTTTTGCTTTTACACTGCTCCTTCCTTCCCTTCATCCCACTTGACCACCTCCTTTCTTTACACCCCTTTCTCCCCTTTGATAGATGGGCTACATTTGTGGAAATGGGAAGGATTTGGAAGTGTGTATTATTATAGGATCCAAAAAAGGGGGCCGCAGAGAGGGAGAGCAGGAGATGGAGACAGCATGGACACATGAAAGAAAAGATGAAACGTGACCTTGTCAACCCCCGGGATCTGTGGACAGAGAGAGAGAGCGGGCGGGGCAGCAGAATAAAAGTGGGAGAACAGAGCGAGGCAGGAAGTTAATCCCCCCCAGGTGTTGTGCCAGTGTAGGCAGGGGGTGCCAGGCCAACGCACTGGCACAGCAGACATCACGCCTCAGTGTGGAGGCCCTTAAATAGGCTGTCTGAATAGTGAAGGGTGGGAGGGCTGCAGGTGGCAGCCGAAAACACTTGGGACAAAACCTATACATGTACACACACACACTCAAACACTGGCAGAATGGACGCTAATCCTGAAATATTGATGCCTATAGTAGTTGCTCATTGAAGGCAGAGAGAGGTGTGTCTGTGTGTGCATGTGTGTTTGAGGTGTTCTGACAGATTACCCACACACCCCTGCTGCTGGCCAAGAAGGTTGCAGTCAAAGGATATCCGATCCTTTGCCTCTCCTCGTTTTCTCCTCGCCACCACTGCTGTTGTTATTATGTATGCATATTAGTCATTCACACGGGATCATTCACACTGTTGGCCCAGGTCAGCACACACACACACACAAACGGATGCTCACACAAATGCAAACTCACACCATTTTGCCACACCAGTGGAGCATGGAAGCCAAGCAAAAAAAAAAAAAAAGCGAGGGAGATGTATTCATTCACTTTCTATTGTGCACGGATCGAGTGTTGGTCCAGTGAATAGGCCGGGGAGCACTTAATAATGAGGCCAGTGTTATTACAGAGCTGCCCCAGCCCCTAACGACATCAATCCACGGGGATCAAATAAAGGCTTTTAATTGCTTCGCCTCATATTAAAATCCCCGCCACCATAGGCGAGCTGCCCTTGGCGTGCCTGAGCATAAAAGCCAGCCAAAAGATTGTATGAAAAGCCACCGTATAGCATGTGGAAAGGCTGTCTCAATTCATGTCTTTGCAATTATGTTTGTGTAACGAAAGCCTATTCATTAAACAGCGATGATTTTTTTTTTTTTGATAGAATATTTGATGATGTCTTTGAATATTTATGTTGGTAATAAGAGTGTGGGCTATCAGTATTTCATTATGTGCTTTGTGTGTGTCTGTCTGTTTGCAGGACTGAGTCTGTGGCAGAGAAAATGCTGACCAACTGGTTCACGTTTCTCCTCTACAAGTTTCTGAAGGTAACACGTCCAGTTGTCTGTGTTTTACAGTTTTTTTTTTATTTTTACAAATGGATACATACAAAGTACATGTATTTTTATTTGTGTATTTGCCAGTACTAAGAACCATACCAATTTCATCAGGTCAGGTTTCAATAACATGCAATGGACTGGAAGCTGGTGTTAAACAGAAACCTTCCATGCATGTGTGAAATGGGTTGAAGTGGTTAAATACACTCCTCGTCAGCTTTAATAAAATATCCTGACATTTTTCTGACGTTTCGCTGGTGTATGTCTTATTCAAACCTCTGTGGTTCAGTAGGTGAGCTTTTGCACAGTACAAACTGTGGCAGGTTTTGCAAGTTTAAGGGTTTGAATCCAGGCTTCACATGTTTGCAAGTTAATCTGTCTGTTACATCATACACAATGTCATATTGATTCTGACAGCTTTTTGGGAGAAGCTTTTCTATTGCTCTGACGTGTAAATCTTCATTATGACTGGACACACACTTCACTAAAGTAAAGTGAATACACTACTAGTTCCGGTTTTTCTTTTAAATATTCAAACTTTCTCCCCGAATCAATCATCCGTTAGACTATTAGTTGGATAATTTTAGCAAACATCAATGCAAATGTGCCATTTAAGTGACAACCCCTTTACCTCATTAGACATTCATCTTACCTAAGGGCTAAATTACCTCCACCAGCCTTTAGTTTTCTCCTCTTCCTCTCATCGGAGCCTTTTACTGCTGGGATCTGAGAGTTTGAAGAAAAAAAGTCCCTGAATAAAGGCCAGTCTCTTCTCTTTGATTAACAGCCATGTTTTTGGGGTTAGAGGAAATGGAATTGGCCTCAAGAGTCTGTCCTTTGTGGCTTTTTCACACTCCATCTATTGTACATTTCTAAGACTATGGCTTCATGGCAGTGAGGTGGATGTATTGATTGGTGCCACCCTGTTCTTTAATTTAAGGGAACAGGAAATTCTGTAACATGGTTTTCTTCAAGCGTTACTCAGCAACTTTAGAGGCACAGCAGTCTGGAAAACACAAAATTACAAAGATCTACTACAAGATTTCATGGTGATAGCGAAGTTTTCTTCCTTCCTCCTTCATCGCACTTTCAAATTTCTCTGCAGGAGTGTGCAGGAGAACCTCTCTTCTCCCTCTTCTGTGCCATCAAGCAGCAGATGGAAAAAGGCCCCATTGACTCCATCACAGGAGAGGCGAGATACTCGCTCAGCGAGGACAAGCTCATCAGACAACAGATCGACTACAAGACGCTGGTAAAGGGTTTGAAGGTTTAAAGGAAAAATGTAGACGGTTTTCAGGGACAAAGGAAGAACAATAAGGGGATTATGGGTTGTTGGTTATGAGAGGTGCAACGTGACCTGAAGTTGTCTCGGACGTACTAGACACACAGAGGGCACAGCAGATGCAATCCTGTTAAGACTGGTACTGACCAAAAAGAAAGGCTTAGAAAATATTCCTTTGTCTGCACAAACAGACAGAAGACAGTTTCTCTTATTTTTTCCACATCCTGTGGTTGTTGAGTCTGTTACCGATCTATACACTACATTAAATCAGCAAGAGGAAAAAGAACAATTTGAAAAAAAAAAATCTCTAAACAGGTGAAGGTGGGCTCTTAATGGCGGTTTTGTTGTATTTTCCATCCAGGTGGTAAACTGCGTCCACCCAGAGAATGAGAAGACCCCAGAGATCCAGGTGAAGGTGCTGAACTGTGACACCATCAGCCAGGTGAAGGAGAAGATCCTGGACGCCATCTATAAAAACGTCCCACACTCCCATCGCCTAAAAGCCTCCGACATGGACCTAGGTGTGAATCCTTTTCTTGTCATTTAATGCATGTTACATGTAACAATATTATTCCCTTTATTTGAGGAATTCAATCAGGATTATTGTTAAAACATGTTTGACCACAACAACAGTAGTTTATTTTTTACTCAGGAGACCTTTATTTTTGTCTCAGATACCTAAATCTCCTATGGTCTGGTCTTTGGACTTCCAATTGATTGACACCCGTGACAACAATTGTCCAAGTTAGACGATTGATCACCATTTAAATTCCGATCTCCTCTAATCTCTTAAGTGTTGTTTTTTTTTCTTTCTTTTTTCTTTCCCTCCCTCCGATCACTCATATTTCAGACCATTTTCCCATAGTCGTGTTTTTGCATTGCATTCAAATCGAGATTTAATACTCTTTTAAATTACTTCAAGGATTCCTCATTAGCGGAATGTAGAGCATTAATATGCTTTGGCTGCACATTGAGAGCACACACATACACGTGTGCACGAATGAGAGCGTAACAGTGTTATCCATGATTGTTTGTCTGCCAATACCTACAGGCCCTTCTGCTCACCATGTCATGTTTTCTATGGTTTAATGTTGTCAGATGGATTTTCCAGGCCCCTGTTGTGTGTTCAGAATAGCATATTTATAACCAGCCTCAGACCCATGATGGGCTGAGTGCATACCACAGGGAATCTGACTGTGGTAGGTGGGGGAGAAATTGGTTTAGCCTTTGACGACTCTCCTGGATCAAATTGTTTTATGGCCTCCTCTTTGGGCCACGTGTGTCCTCCTGTTATTGTTTTATTACAAATAAGTCGGGATTGGCAGGGTAAACTAGCCACTTATGTGCACTGCAGGCACAACAACATGCTGCACAATATTTGGTACATTTTCTGTAACGTCAAGTGTTTAAGGCAATAACCTAACACCCATATGGTCATGTAGTCGTGCCATGCATTCCTTTACAGACTTGCACAATTTGTGGTTAACTGTTTTGCCTAGGGACATATTGGCATGAAGACTAGTACCCTTTGTAGTACTAGTAGTAGTACTAATACCCTTTGTCACTCACAGCCATTTAATAGCATACATACAAAGGCATAAAATTAGGTCTGCAACTCTTACATCTTTATTAGTCAATGACCATAAAAACTAACACATCCTAATCACACTTTTCTGAGTTCCCCACTTCCTAGCATACAGGAAACATAAATTACCAAATATGACTTGTACTTGATAGAAGTAAGGAAACACAAACATACATAGTTTTATTGCTGTAAGCAGAAATCACCTGATTGCAGAATGGCAGCAATCTCAGTTTGTTTGGTCTTCCTGCTACTTTTTTTTTTTTTTTTACTTTTTTATTTTCATTTATTCATCTGTTTACTCAGCTCCAACCAGAGGCTGTGTTCATTTGCATCTTTATGGAAAAATGAACAGTATATACTGGAGACAAAACCAACAGGAGGGTCTTTATTTCCAGCAGATTTTTTTTTTCAGGTGCTTATACAATTCTGGTCAGTTCTCTAAAGATAGTCCCCAGGGACGCCACGGTGATTGGTCCATGTATTCCTGTTTGTGATCAGTATAGGAGATGGCAGTGACTGACACAAGTGGGGAAACAAAAATGCGGAGCACAAACACAATAATGAATTCATAAAAGCCCTGATGTGTACAAAAACAGAGGAGGAATTGTGTGTTTGTTTGTTTTTTAAGATGGCATTTTTCTTCCACTTATGATAATGTTGCTGGCATATCATGAGAAGTTTCAATCAGAGCTTTTGAGCATCATCATCACTGTTGGAGAAGCAAACAACATCAGTAAAATACAGTGAAAAGAGCAAACAGTAGGAGCCTGATGCTAAAAGGTGGACCTTAATTTTATTGACCTCAGTTACGGTTTCTTTCATTTGTGATGCTGTATCACTGTCCTTCCTTTTTTTATTTTGTTATATCAAAATAGTTTTTTTTTTTGTGTCAAATGATTCTTCTTTGTTAGCATATGAGAAAATTGAAATAGACTCCCGATTACTTACAGCATACAAGTACTGCAATTGGTAAAAGCCACAGTGGCTACCACATGTATGATTTATTGTGAAAATATAATTTGGGTTGTTAAATTACTAGAAACATCCTTTGCTTGGGCAACACACTTGTCTTAAACTATTTATAACAAAAAGACTTCCACCCAATTCCATTATGTAATTTCCTGAAGGCAACAAGAATTTAAAACAGATGCACATCAAAACGGATGAAGATAAAATCTCTTCCCCTGATAAAACGTGCCCTGTGTTATATGAATGTAGAAAGCATCCTGACAGTTGTTTTTTTTTTTCTTTTCTTTATTTGTAGAATGGCGTCAGGGCAGAGGACAACGCATGATTCTGCAGGATGAGGACGTCACCACAAAGATCGAAGGCGACTGGAAGAGACTGAACATGTTGGCACATTATCAGGTATTCTGAAGCTGAGTCTTTTAACATACATATGCATGTGTGTGAATAACTAGGACAAAAGCAGGAGGAAAAAGTGAAGATGCAACAACCGGGGGACTGGAGTCAACCATCCAAAGCAAATGTGCAAAAATAACCCAAAAAGATCAAACAAGAGTTGCAAAAAGGTTAAATGGATGACAGACGAATGTCTGACAGAAAGACAAGCAGCAAGGCCCAAAGACAATAGTGCTGTCTGAAATACAGAAACCGTGGCTAGTGTTTGCAGAGTTGAAAGTGCTGAGATTAACAGTGGGAGTAGCCAGGATGGACAGGTTTTAAAATATTTATATCGGAGCTAACATTAGAGACGCAAGGGTGAGCTAGTTAGACATATTCTCAGGGGAGACACAGTAGTGGAAATATTTGACAAAAAGATATCTGTCAACCAGAAGTAAAAGAGGAGGTACTTGGAGAATATTCTTTGACATATTGAAGGTCAACTGGGAATTGGTCAGTGTAGTGTAGCTGCAGGAGAGGCAAATATTAGACCAAATTGGAGGCAAAATGATCTGCTTTGGTGAAAGCTGGAGAAAAGCCCAAAGAAAATGTAATAATTCTATGTTTGAATGAGACCCGTGTGTGTACGTGTACCCTATGTAGGGTTAGGGTCAGTACGCATGAAAAACTCTATCAAATGCTTTATACACAGGCAGAGTTCTGTATTAGTCACTCTGTCCAGTCACCCAGGATGAGTCAGGTCGGGAAAACAAGCATCCTTTTTTGACACAGGGTTAATTAGTTCAGCACCAATGTGAGCCGCCTCTGTCCTCCAAGTGAAGTGTGTGCGGTGCCTAAATTAAATGTCAGTGGCAGCGAGTGTCAACATGTTTGGTGTGTGTGGGAAGATAAGGAAGCCGATTGGAATCTGAGATAAGATAATGAAGACAGAAAGGTAAAACGGCTGAGGATTGAGGATGCTTTATCTTTGACGGACGAAAGAAAAATTGTTGAATTAAAATTTCCCAGGAGGCCACAGCAAAGCAAGAACTTTTCACACTCAGGTGACATTGAGTGGCATTAATTTGACTTCTTAGAAGCACAATGAATAGAGTAATATGCTGTCTATCATTAAGCTAATCGGCCCTGAACTGCCACTAGAGTCAGTCACACACTGGCTGTGACTCTGCATCCCAAACTGAGTGTGAAAAGTTTCTTGTTGAGGAACATCAAATAATAAAAGCACAAATTTTGCATCTGCCTCATCAGATCTTTTTGTCTGCTAATGAGTGACATTTCTCTGTATTCTTCCATTGTTAGAGGAAAATTATTTTCCTGCATTCTACCTTTATCTCGTTCTCCAGATCTGATTTTACCCAAATGCCAGTCCTCCTCTTCATTTTATTATTTCATTATGTTCCATTGTGATTTTTTTTTTAATCTATTCAGCACATAAGAGTAGTGATCAGGGAGCAGGCTTAAGGGTGCTGCAGAAATGAAGTGGCTCCCCACAGAGGAATCAAAAGAACTGCACTGTTGGCCTCCTCCTTTAGTCATATACACATAATATGCATAAGGAGCTGATTGAGTGTCTTGGTGAAATAATGATACAATGTTAATGGACCCCCAACACACGCTCAAAAACACGCCTACAAAGGGCCCCTGGTTTCTAGTCCCTGTCCCAAACACCCACGCTTAGAGATCACTTTAATTAACCCAGTCTACTGTGACGTCTGCATTATGCACAAAGGGTTATACTGCGAGTGTAAAATTCGACAGTAACTTAGTAACAATATTCTTTTCTGAGTCATTTCTAAGACGGAACCTAAATATGTGGTATTTTTGTCTGAATAACTATATCGGAATATATTGACGCTTTCGTCAACTAATAAAAACCCGAAAAAAAATCTTGTAGAGACGAAGTCCAATCAACGTTGTTTTTGTTGAAAATAAATGAGGGCGACAGCCAATCAGAGCTATGGTTGTTTTGTTGGGGGCTGTGTACGGTAGCAAAAATAAACAGGACAGTCCGAAGTTAGGTGAAGCTGGACTGAACATTAATTAAATACCGGCATCAGAACTTGTAGACAGGTAGATGGACACATATTTACTTTTGCGATATACAAGGTAAACCGTGTAGTAAGTCTATTTGAGGAAAGAACACGAAGAAACAGCGCTATCTTAGAGAAACGTCTGGAAATTCAGACGGAAGTATTAATATATGAGCTTATCTGGCTATTTCCGATATGGAAAATAAATGAGGGCGACAGCCAATCACAGCTATGGTTGTTGTGTTGGGGGCTGGACATCTACCTGGAGGTCTAATCACGGTGAACCTGTGTACGGTGTACCGATATTACGAGGAATTTGTCCTGGTATCAACATTTTAATACAACTACGTATATTTATTTGTACAGTTAAGATATATACAGTGTTATATAATTCGTTTTAAGGTAACCATTGTTATTTAAGTAAAATAAATCAGTTAGTAATTTCATTATTAAAAATGCCAAAAAAACACATTCTTAAAAACCCTTTAAGAATTTGATAAAAGACCAAATAATATTTTATAAATACAGATAAGTATATTTTTAAAACATGAAAATATTACAAATTGTATTTCAGTGACATAAATCCAATTTAAATTTCATTGCTTAAAATAATTTTTGCATTTTGGTTAAACTAAACTAAAATTGAAACACTTCTAGTAACTAAATTGGATTTAAAATATAATTCACAATTGAGTCCAAAGACAAAGATTAAATTTAAATTGGCTGACAAAATGAACACAGGTCCCGGCAACATTAATTGACATCAGATTGATTTGGGAGAAATCAATTGACTCATCCATTCAAGCAGACTCATATGTTCACACATCGTTGTAGACACACACATGCAGCCTGATTTCCTTCACGCATACACACACGGCCCTTGAGGAAATGTTTATTGAATTGAGACTGTGGGACACCTCCTCCAGTGCAGGTCTGTGTGATGCTCTGCTAAACTCTCCCTCCCCTTGTCAGCCATCATATGTATGTGTGGCCTAAAGAGAACACATAGGGGTAATAACAAATTCTGTTCTTTATTAGAGCGTCTACCAACATTAAAATAGAATTGATACAGAGAAATATAGAAAGTGACAGCAAAAGAATGATCTATGGGATTTTTGATTGGTTGTGATTGTTTTTATATATATATAAAATATTTTTTTCATCTATTTTGCATCAGTATTCTGCATAAATTTACTATATGTTTGTTTTATGTTTTGCAGGTGCCTGATAATGCAGTCATGGCATTGGTTCCCAAGCAAGTAACGGCCTATAATTCAGTCAATAACTCCACCGTGTCACGAACTTCTGCAAGTAAATACGGTAAGTACTCATATGTTCAGAGCAGGACTTGCTAAAAACACAGAGGAACACAAGCTAAATATTCTAAAATTTTAAGGAACAGAATGCCTCATTTAATGCAACAATTTTTTTACTGGTAAATTCTTTACCCAAACCTTATGGTCTGGTTAGTGAAAGTTGAATCAACTTGTTTCGTGAAGAGTCTTTATTAACATCAGAGAACATCAATAAACCAGCTCCCTGCTGAAAAAAGATGAACATCCTCAGAACACTGCATAAAAACAGACTCCCAAAGACAAGATGCAATTTAAACTCACCAAAATGATCCCTGCAGCTACAAGAGAGCAAAGTGACTCTTTCTTGTTATTCTTCTGGCCTCTTGAGACTCCAAAGTGCGTCTCCTCATCCTGCAGTGCATCAGTGTTTTTTTTCTTCTTCTTCTTTCCCCCCGCCTGACCGTCTGCTCTATGTCTCCTTGAACCTGTGAAACCATCAAGTCAGTGACTGATCAAAGGGCCAGCTTCAATTCCCACAAACACTTCAGACACATCAAATGTGGTTCCACATTATTAGCATCGCCTCATCTCCATGCCATCCCTCCTCTACGGCTCACATGCACAAATTAGACCAAATAGGACGGAGGTGAGTGGTGCAGCAGAGAAAGGGAGGGAAGATGCCAGGGGTATTTTTTCTCAACTATGTTTTTAAGACTTCAATAGCAGGTGTGAACCACTTCACAACACAAGGTGTGGTACTTGAGTGACTTTGAAGTCCCTCTGTGTGCAATGGACAAACAAGGCTGGATTTAATGTGAAAAATCTGCTAAAGTTTGGTGAAGTCGAGCGGAGGGAAAAGTGCAAAGATTAAGACAAAACAGTAGAACAATTTAGGACAGGGTGAAAGGATAAACCTTTGTTTTTCATCTAAGATGCAATGTTTCAATGAAAAACCTTAAATACTAAAACTGAAAGCAGACCGTCTCCTTAGGTGTCGGGGCTCGATAGGATCCTACCACATACTTTGAACTTAACAGTAAACACTACAGGAGTGATAGGTGACACACACACATGCTCTAAACATCTCCAGCTGTGGTTCTTTTTCCTGAACTCTGTCCTCTTTACTCTCCTGTTGCTTTTCTCTCTGAAATCTTTGATTTTTTTTTTTTTTTCACCAAATCTCGCCCTCTGATCAATTTTTCTTCACTCTGTGTAAACATTCACTGAACTGCATGTTTGGAAATGTCACAGCCGCTCATGTGGTCATCGGCCGTACCATACATATTTCATTTCATCAGACACTTCGATTTTGTGTCAGCTGGCATCATGTTATCTCTGAGGAGATGCTATAAAAATTTAACCAAGCATTCATTTGTTGAATTTTCTTATCCAATTTCAGAGACTAGTAATTTGGAAGACAAAAGCCAATAAAAGCACAGGAGTCTGGTGCTGACGTGCAGGCTTTTCTAACCCTTTTGGGGCTCATCTGGTTTAATATGATCTGATTTCCCTTCTGTGCTAGTTGAGTTTTAGACTTGTCTTGATGATTCCTCCTCTAAAACAGGCACAGATACAGCACAAATGTATTCGTTATCAGTACAGACCTTTAAAAACAATGAGGGAAATACAAATTTAAATTCCTGACCAAACAGTTTCTGATTTCCTACAGACAACATGATGAAATACACCGGAAGTCCTGACAGCCTGCGTTCCCGCACTCCCATGATCACCCCTGACCTGGAGAGCGGAGTCAAAGTTTGGCACCTTGTGAAAAACCACGAGCACGGAGACCAGAAAGAGGGCGACCGTGGGAGCAAGATGGTCTCTGAGATCTACCTGACACGACTTCTGGCCACTAAGGTGAGTATCCTGACCCGCGTAATCTCCACCACTTTTAGTTAAATTCTTCATTCAGCTGTTTGGTCTTGAAATAGTCAACTGTATATGAGGAAGATGTGTCATATTTAAGGCAGTTCACTATGTGAGAGGTTAAAAAGTCCTTCTAACCTTCACTGTTGTTCTCTGTGACTCAACGTGCGCGAGTATTGTTGAAGTATTCATGCCTAGTCTGGATGAGTCATCTGAGTGGAAGAGAATATTCAAATTTATGGTTTAATTCCCTAAGGTTTAAAGAAGGAAATAAACATTTTTGTGTGTTTTCTCTTTGTGTTATTGTGCTGTTAATGCAACAGCATATCAAAAAGGTGACATACAAAACAGCCAGTGGAGTTATTGTGGGTTTGTTTCTGTAACAGAAATGAAAACGTTATCAGGAAGAAATAGAAATGATAATAATAATAATAATAAGTCTCTTTGAATCTGCCTTCCGACAATGGAGGAAGAAAAAAACTAACTTAATCTGGTTTGGATGGAAAATGCATCTTTGATCCAAAGGCTGAATGCAAATTACTTTTCCATTAAGACATCCATTCTATTAAACAAACGAGCTGTAAAAAAAAAAAGTAGGCAACAGTGTAGTGTACAGGCAGTTACCTAGATAACCTGCTGTTGTAGGATTTGAGAATCTCAGACAGCATCTCAGGGTCATTAAATGCTGTTTTCTCTTCATATTTGGGAAAATAACTGATAAATCAGGAACCTCAACCTTGAAGCAGGGTTAGCAGGGTAGCCTGTCGTAAACAGGACATGAAAAGAAACATCAGGAGTTAGATAAATAGCTGTGCTGACGCTGTAAAATAAGAGGTGCAAGGGCAGGATGACACTGCTGTCACTCTCGTCGCCAAAACACGTGAACGTCACCTCCCAGCCTCTGCGTAATGCTCTACTTCTCTGCGATTATCCCATTCCAAAGTGCAGCAAGGTGACGAGACAGCAAATCATCTTTCCAGATGGATTGTTTTTTGTGAAATACCCGGTTTATCTTGGCCAGCTATCTCTCTGGTTGAAGAACGAGCAGGGAGGACAGGGATTGTAATTGACTGTGTTTGACTTTCGCCGTTCCAATAAATACTTCTCCCTGGCGATGGTGCTGACGTGTCTCATATTAGCTCCATCAGTGTCACTCTGACTGAGCGTAGGTACAGGTTGTATTCAAGTGGGTGTAGAGTGAAGGAGATTACATTCTATCTCCTTACTTCTACATTAGGTTTCCCCCTCACCGCCTTCCTTTCCTCTCATCAACCATCTGATTGTAAGATTGCATTTGATTTCAATATGCCAACAGACGGCATTTAAACGTCTGCGTTGGGTTTGGAGTGTGCTCTAATGACACGGTGGATGGTTGTAGAAGGAAAGGGTGTTGTAGAGTCTGCACTAAGAACCCTAACAGAGAACTTTGTGGTGAAGTCCCCTTCAAAGAGAGGATGACATTAAATGTCACAGCCTCGGCATTTGGAGGCTCATACAAAGGTTTTTTTTTATGTATGACAAATCTAAAATGCCAAAGTCTTCTCTCACCGGCTAACACACACTGTTGTGTGGATTGCTTGTGGTTTTGATCTAGAGATATGTGATTTAGTTTTCATAGAAAAGCACTAAGCTGTTGGGAATGTGGGCCACGTTAGAATTATAGCCGTCATTATCGAACAAACAAAAACCTCTCCTCCCACTCTACTACCATCTACTTCCTCTTGATGCCATGTCTTGGTAACCTGCTCTGAACAAAATTTGATTTTTATTTGCTGATGCCTGTAAACACCTCATCTGCCACACTTAATAGCAGCTCTTTCAGATAGTAAACCTCTGTCGTTGTGGTTTCATCCCTCAGACTAGCTTTATTTTTCTCCGTGCGTCCCATCAGCTCATACTTTACAAGAGGATTAGATTCTGTCGCGCTGTCTCTCGTCTCCCGTCTCATCTCCGCCTCCTTCTTAAAGTCACCAACATTAAATCAAATTAGGGTCAATGGTGCAGTGTGGGAGCTAATCCAGCTGCACAAAGAGGCTTAGGAGATGCGCCTCCTGTTGCCAGATATTATAAAAGTCAGCTGTGAAATAACAATTTCTCCCATCAAAGCTGCAAGGGGATTCTGTGCTCTAATATGAGAGTAAAGCACAAAAAGCACACTTCACAGCTTGTCTGCATCGCATTACCACGCATTACCACTAGAGGGCAAGATCTGTGTCTCTGTACAATGTTTTTATGTATTTGTGATTTAGGATAACATGTGTATGATTTATCTTTCTTCTCCCTCCTGTTCAGGGTACGTTACAAAAGTTTGTGGACGACCTGTTTGAGACCATCTTCAGTACAGCCCATCGAGGCAGCGCCCTACCACTGGCCATCAAGTACATGTTTGACTTCCTGGACGAGCAGGCAGACAAACACAACATCCACGACCCACATGTTCGACACACATGGAAGAGCAACTGGTGAGTTAATTAGTCTAAGATACTGTTATTACTAAGACGTTCGTGTACATGCAGAGAGAGGCGAAGTGTGTTTTTTTCCTCCAAAAATCCACTGAAAATCCAGGGACATTGTAGAGTCTTGTGGCAGCTGTCCTGGCAGATATAACAGGACGTTCCCAAGTGCAGTGTACAACAGTGCTCTGCCGTTGGTTCCATCCGTGGTCTCTTCTTCCTGCCCTGTTATTTAATGTACTGTCAACATAATTGTTTAATTTGGGCACATGACATAGCCCTGGTATTGCCCCGTGCCAGTGCCAAGCTTAACCACATGCCTCTTCCTTTTCTAATATCCATTAACCACAGGGGTGTGTAATCTTCATTAGAGCCAACCACAAGGGGCTAATCCAGTTGGCTGCCAAGACTCGCTATCTATTATCATTGATAACGTGGCCAAAAAAAAAGGCCTGTCACCATGGAAATCACCCTGGTGACAAATGTGCGCTCCCAGGTGCAGGAAGTACACCTCTAATTTAATATCCACTCATTAATTTGAACCATTCTGACCCCAGTTATTCCAGCTGAAAAGATTGGTACTGGTTAAATAACCCAATGGTGCACGGGAACGTTGTTATACCAGGAATGAAAAGGTGAAGTGAACTTAGTGGGAATTAAATGCACAATAATATGTCATTAGCCTCCTGGCCTCTGCCAAAATCCCAGCATGCATCACTCACCCCAAGGGCTAGAACCATGGCAATGGAAGGATAAGATTTATGTGCAGTGAGGGACAAATAAAGGGAAGGAGAGGGAAAAGTGTGAGAGAGAAGGAAGGGGATTCACATTTGCTGTACGTCTTGATTCAGCTCCTTCTCTAGGTCAATCTTCTTGGACCATTTGCAGAGACACGTTAAGTGTTTTCTAAGTGTGAGTGGGCTTTTACATTCGACTTTTAATAGAATCTCACTAGAGAACTGTAAATGAATAACACATTTATCACAATACACATCATAAACAAGCCACTTAGACTGTGGCACAAGAGCTTATGTTCTCACGCTGTGTGTGTGTGTGTGTGTGTTTCAACGACCCTTTCATTGTCTTCAACGTCTGCAATCTTAGCTGCAACCAAAGCCTTTATTTTGTCTGATGGTAGGGAATAATCACAACGGGGCCCCTCGCATCCTGGACCCCTGTCCTATTAAACCTACCAGACCCATCGTCATCACACACACCATTAACTCCAACCCCAACACAGCAGTCGGGGCGATTACACCCCACTGCCTCTCCCACTTTCAAGTCAGGGGTTCCCCAGGATCAGTGCTCCACCGAATCCATCAAATTCTTTTTTTTTTAATTAAATGTCATATCTGGAGTATTTTTTTATTTATTTTTTGCATTTTTCAGTCATTTTTTTAGTCATATTATTCTTAAGCAAGGGCTTATTTTTTCCATTTAATTTAGAAGATAGATCTTCTTATCCCTAAGTTGGACCATCTGTTTATTTTTTCTATAACCAATTTCTCTAGAGACAGATTTCAACTTGATGCCGAGAGCGTTTTTTAGAAATCTTAAATGAAAACTTAACTTAAACATAAATTAAAACTTCAGTATCTGCCTTAATCGTGTCACTAACACGTGAGTGGCTGAGTAGATATTCGTATTAAAAAGCAGTCGAGCTTATTAACCTTTTTTCAACCAGGCCAATCCTATTGAGATTAAGCGTCTCCTTTTCAAGGGAGGCTGCGTCAACTGCACCTAATAATGTGAGCAGTCAGCGTAAATAAATCGTTAAATGTGTTATTATGAAGTAAGTATGCCTTGTTTTTGCAAATGGAAATCATACTTTGCTTGTTGCTTTCCATCAAAGCGATGCTGTTCATTTTAGATTACTATTGATTTTGTACGTAATACTTTAAGACGGTAAACTACCCACAGGAGTAATTCTGGATTAGAAACTCACTGGCTCTTAACAATAATGTTATCCTGTGTGAGTGTTTTTACCATCCATCCCCGTGCGAGTGTATTGTTTTCTAACAGTGCTAAGCCACCGTCCAGGCCATTATGTTGTGTTGGTACCCTGTGTCTCCCGGGGCCTAGTTCAAACACAGGTCACCTTTATGAAGCCGTAACTCCTAACTTTTTGAAGAGAAAGGTCAGAATTGGTCAGTTTCCTGTCCACTTTAATGCCACACGTGGGGTTAGCTGCATTATTACACGTGTGACACTTGGTCTGCCAGTGGCCAGAGACTTCATCAAGCACCGCTACAGAAATGGGACAACATCCCATTACTGCAGGTGGAGGAGTCGACAGGCTCCGGGTGCAAAGTATCAAAGAGGCAGACAGACGTGCCCCAGGTGGGCTGCAGGGAGTAGAGCGCTTATAGATGTTGGATTTAACCAGGTAGAATATGTAAATAACCAAACTGATTTTAGACCAAAGTGACTGTTCCATGTCATAGTACTGATTGGTTCTTAAAAAGCTTGACAGCATCTAAAGACCATATATTAAAAAGCAATAATGTGTCATTAATGGTGACCACAGATTATTTACAGCTGAGGCCTTTTATACAAATATGCAAATAAGCCCCCATCAAAATGTTCTGAAATGCTAGGCTAGTGTCAATCACTGAAGTTATTCTAGTTACTGTTTAAGCATGTTGAATTTAGTTGTTCAGTCCACTACGGTGTTTAATTGCATTTCTATAAAGACTACAGTGGTCACAGAAAGATTTGGGGTGTTTTAACATTTTGTCTAGAATCAAAGTGCAGATGTACCTCAGAGCAGAGAGGAGCTGGGGGCAGATTGTCAATAATCATGACAGCTTAGCTGTGTTGTTAATATCTCTCTAATCCTGCCGCATATAATCCAAGTAGATTTTTTGCTGAGATTATTTTTAAGATGTAATACATTTTTTTTCTTCCACCAAATCCTAATCCTCTTTGGTTAGATTGTACATGTGAGAATTGCGTTGTGGGTGGTTGAGCCTGGATTGAAGTGATTAGGAGAATGGCTTGGAAGCACCTGTGGTACTGCAGTGACTGTATTTTGTGTACTTTTGAACCATACAGAGACCAATACACAGGCTTGACTGTAGTGTTAGAGTTTTTTTATTTTTTTTTACCTTTGTCAGCTGAAACAGCTTAGCCCAGAGCCAAATACAGACCTGGAGATTGAAGTAACAATCAGACATGTTCCTTTAATACCACCTCGCTGTAGTTTCTCTTTAACTCACAGATAAAACCAGCGTCTGTAGATTTGTTTTTGCTGTAAAAATAAAAAAAAAGGCACTGCAGAATGAACAGACAGATTTGACATAATGGAACAGTCAGAGAACAGTTCAAGCGGTGATGTTGTTAATGTTACCTCTCTTCTCGTGCAGCCTACCTCTGCGTTTCTGGGTGAATGTGATCAAGAATCCCCAGTTTGTCTTCGACATCCACAAGAGCAGCATCACAGACGCCTGTCTGTCTGTGGTGGCACAGACCTTCATGGACTCCTGCTCCACCTCGGAGCACCGCCTTGGGAAGGACTCGCCCTCCAACAAACTGCTTTACGCCAAGGACATCCCCAGCTACAAGAGCTGGGTGGAGAGGTGAGCTACTGCTGACGTAGGCTGACGTTAAATGCTGTATGGATAAAAATGTTTGAGTGTGTCCAGGCCTGGAGCTCCAGGGTACAGAGATGTGTGCAGTAAAAGTCACAGAGGGTATTATTTATAGCAGCAGGGGGCAGAAAGAGGGGTAATTTGTAAGGTTGAGAGTTTTAAAAAAATGTGTTTGTCATCAGGGGAGGGAGGTAGTTGCTGTTCTGCCCTGGATGGAAGATAGAGGGGTGTGATGAGTTCACCGTGTCAGTGCTTGAATGAGAGTCACAAATACTTTATTGATCTCTGGGGGAGAAGGAGGGGGGACTGAAATGTAGACCACAACACAGTCTGTGTTATGGACCAGTACTAGCACAGGTTCTCCCTGTGTGTTTGTGATAATAGAACAAATATAGGCGATATAATCAGTAAAATAAAGTACCGACAGACGCCACTGCATTTTCGGTTGTTTAGAATGTAAACTAACTTCTCTACGGAAGTTGGTTTTGTGCTGGAAGTAGTGTGTGGGATGTGTACTAAAAGAATTAGATTTGGATGCAAAAACTTTTTCAGTCAGTCAGTCAGTTCTCTGCCGGCAGCTTCTCACACCTGTCCTTCAGTACTGAACAGGTGTGTGTGTGTGTGACCTCTGAAGACACACACACACACCTGTCTTTTTCTTTGCTCTCCAAACTTCTTTCCTGGCACAGATCCCTCTCGACCCTCCCTTACCTCTCTCTCTCTCTCTCTCTTTATTTTTCTCTCCACCTCTCTCTCTCTCCTCCACTCTTTCTCACTCTCTAAGTTTTCAGTCCAAACCTGAGGCCAGTCCTCCAGTGGCTGGAGCTGCAGGAATTTAATATGGAAATTAGCAGCTTTAATTAACATAGTAGATGGGGGCGACACAGCTGCTGCCGACAGTGACTGATTTACCTTACGTCAGGGCTGTGTGTGTGTGTGTGAGAGTGTGTGTGAGAAAGAGAGAGATTGACAAAGTTAAGAATCCAGAGTCTGTGAGTCATTGAATACCATAGGTATATATTTTTATTTTACCACACAATTCTTAGCCATTCTCCTTCACCGCCTGTGTCACCAGGTACTACTCCGACATCAGTAAGATGCCAGCCATCAGTGACCAGGACATGAACGCCTACTTAGCAGAACAGTCACGGATGCACATGAATGAGTTCAACACTAAGAGTTCTCTCAGTGAGATCTACTCCTACGTGGGCAAATACACCGAAGAGGTACGTGGTAAAAATGCAAGTAAAAAATACACATCTGTGCCAAAGACTAGGATTTGGATTAAGTAGGTGTTTTACTACATACAGTATGAATTATCATATGCAGTAAAACACCTACTCGGTCCAGAGTGGTCTTTGTTTAAGGGCGATAACATGCTCCACAAGAGCAGAGGAATTTGTCCTCTCGCCGTGAGCTGTGAGGAAAAAAATAATTTTATATTTTTCTCTCCATCCATGGTTTGAGAGTTCTCACTACCATCCAGACCAGGAGTGGGCCAACTGTTCCATACAGGGCTGCTGTGGCTGCAGGTTTTTGCCTCAGCACACCTGACTGGGCTCATTCAATCAACTGATCTGAGTCTTAAGACAGATTAAGACAATCACTGTGGCCCGGACAGGTGGGAACAAAAACCTGCAGCCACAGCAGCCCTTTGTGGAACAGTTTCCCACATCTGATTGGTCAAAATTTAAACAGGACTTGGTTAACACTGGTTGTATTCAGTGGTCCAAAAGACCATTTAAGGCTCTGCCGGTTTAGAAAGATGATTAATTCAAGATGATATGATTCAACTGTCAACATTTATCTGAGTAATTTAGTCCATTTCTATTATAATTCAGTCAGAGATTACAAATCAGATACACTGTAAAGTAAAGATATCACATGGCACTCACTCTGCAGTCGGACTTGATGTGCAAACATGAGTTGAAGCCTTGGACCTGTGAGTACTCGCAGTAATGTGTGTGTACCTCTCGGTCCTCCCTGGCAGATTGTGTGCTCACTGGAGCAGGACGATGCAGCCAGGAAACAGAGGTTGGCCTCCAAGCTGGAGCAGGTGGTGGCCCTTATGCGTCTTGAGAGCTGAGGACCGCATTTCCCAGGGTGCACTGGGAAGAGACCCCATCAGAAACCGAGCCGTGCCTGAGTGAAGACCTGTCCCCAACTTTTTTTTTTTTTTTTAATTTCCATCACTTCCGATTCCTCCCGTTCTTCTGCCTTTCAAAGATTGACCTTGTTTCTTGACCTTTCGATCTGCTTCCACTTCCCTGGGAAAGATTTTGTTTCCTCATCCAGTCTGCTGCACATAGACTAGTTTTACCTGAATACATCCGAGGGGTGGTATCGGGCTGAGGTCAGCATCTCCCACAATGCAATGTGAGGGAGTCCTCAGCTTCACCACAGGGAGAGCGCTTCAAGGGGTGACTGTGTCAAAGCTGGCCATATTGGCATGAGTCAGTCCCCCTGCTGGAAAGAAGAAGGAGAAAACATTTTTATGTTGCCTTTAAGAATTTACATCAATATGTAATTCTTAAAAAAAAGAAAGCCCCCACAGTGCTGGGTGTTGTTTTTGTTGAACTGTTTTTTTCCTTTAATCTATGACAGTTATAATAAAAACCATCTTTAGAGTCCAGTTTATTGTAGTTCTATATTCAGTAAGTAGAAGAAACATTGAAGTGATGACCGCAAGCCAAATGAACACCTCCAGAAAAAAGAGCGAACAAAAGAATGGTTTGCCAAGTTTACACTGTAACTACAAACTTCAACATACATATCTGAGACTGGGGGGCGAGTCCAGGCGGACCTTGAATGTTCTTGTGTTCCTTCAATGTAGCTGGAGCTGTAGACTGATGGGGGGTAAGGAAGGCTACGTGCTTCTCTGAAACATTACTGACAATTAAACTTTGCGAAGCAGAGTATCTCCGTGCTGTATCCCTACTGCAACATTCACGCATCCCACCCCCCACTCCTCCCCCAATGGCCAGCTTAAATTTGTTTGAGAGAATATGCTCATAGTTTCTGCTTCTTTCCGGCTTATGTGGTTCCTGCAAAAATGACCCCTGTTAGCGAAACCCCCCCCCCTCCTAGAGGCCCTTACCCAAGTTGGATCCTCTGAAAGAAGCACACGAATCATCTCAAAAAGACAGTGTTTCCACCAAACACCTGACGCGCTTTCTTGTCGACGGTCTATCAAAGCACACACACACACACCGATGCACAGAAACAAACAATCAGCAGCTGCCCAGATGTCTACGCCAACCGTGAAGATATGAGACTGTGAGAAACTATATCAAGTCAGAGACGGCTGACTGCTACCTAAAGGGGGCTCTGTTGGCGGAGTAGCACCTTTTTCCTTGGATGTTCTTATTTAAAGACTTTTGAAAACGTGATGGATTTCAGTCAGCCAAAAAAACCAAAGGAGCTTGAAATTTTCAATACGGTCCATGTGTTTGTAAAAGTGCCACTGAGGAACGGACTAAAAGAAATTAAGAGGACTGTGTAGAAGACGACAACTTCTGAGACAGAAAAACATAAATATTATTGTGACTGGAACTTCAACTGAATTTTCTGACCTCAGTGTGTCGAGGTGAGGGACTCCTCTTTCCATCCTCCCAGAGTCTCCCCCCCGGCTCTCGACACACCGTTCACCTTTGTGTCTGGCTCCTGACCAGTTTCCCCCTTTTGTTTTGCACAAGCGTTGGAGATGGTAGCTAGTCGTGTATGGCAAAAACTCACCTCCTCCCAACTCTTCTTCAGTCTGTATCTGTTGAGGCGCTCTTGTCTGTATTAGTGTAGTTATCCTCAGTGGCGGCAGGGGGCAACCTTCTCCAAGCCTAATAAATGAAAAAAAAAAGGAACAAAAACATCAGATAGAGCTAACAAGGATCGAAACAGAGTCAGATAAAAAGAAAACGATACAAGACATTAAAGTTGCTAAGACTTTTTGGATGTGAACCCCCACCCAACCCCACCTCAGCTGTGGGAGAAAAAGAGGGAGCGATTGAAAGCTGATGGAGGCGCCCTCTCTCACCTCTGCCCTTTCTTTTGCCTTGACAACGTGCCCCATGTGGTGATGTGAATGTGTGAAGACCGCCCTAGGTCCACCTTGGGTCTTTTATTGGCTTTTTAAGCGCATGTAAAACATAAACGATTTAAGAAACTTATTTAAAAAAAAAACTAAAAAAAAAAGGAAAACAAGAAAACTAAGCCTTGCGATGATGATGTGGATGTGTTCTTTTATCTTTCTTTTGCTTGGAAGAACCGAGACGGATTAAGTGGACTGTTCATGTAATAAAAACTATTACCTTTTCGTTGAAGGTGGAACCTTTATCCCGTTCATCCCCTGCAGACGCCTCATGCTCATGGTTTTTGTGACGTGTTAGATGCTAACTACAAGTATTGTATACCCTTGCATGTTGACCTATTAGGATGGTATGAAATGGAACTGCCTTGCTAAAAGATATTTATAAACTTCTACTGCTACTAGGGACTTTAAAAGTCATTCACGAGCCAGCTGTTTCATTGCTAGATTTTTCGATCACGTGAAACGGCACAAATCCTGTTTGTTTGTCTTTTTTAACCTCGTCTTTCATCCCTGTCCGTGTCTCGTCTGTGGGTTTTTTGTAGAAGACGCAAGCTAAGTCTTGCACTTCCTTTGCTGCTACTACATGTTTGTTTTCAGGTTTGTCACATGGCATTTACACGCCTTTGTTCTCACAAGAGTAGGTACTATAAGTGCAAAGAACCCCAACAACACTATACTCTGTTTTTTGCGACTGCAGTTGGACTTGCATCAGACAGAACTTGGATGCTCAACAGTCCCTGGTCACTGTTGTTCACCAGATAGTTTCAATAGGAGACCGTTCTGGACTGCAGGCGGGCCAGTCAAGCACATGCATTCTATGTCTACAAAGATGTGCTAGAGTAATTTTTTGCAGAACCCAATGTATCACTGCCTAGGGTCCCAAAGGTCACGCACATTCAGCAGAGGTTCCTGGCACTTTACATTTAGAACATCTCTGCCTTTACAACGGACACTGATATTTTAGCTAGTTTGTTATTTACAGACTCCTCTCTGGGGAAGTTTAGCACAAAGTAGAGAGGATACCCTGTCCAAGACTTTGGTGGATGCTCGTTTTTGACCCAGACTCACTAGTTAATTTGTCAAATAAGGAACATCCCAGAATGTTGAGATATTGTTTTTCTCTTCTCAACCTCTGGCCCAAATGTTTTGGGTTTTGTTGCAGTTCAGTTTGTTAATGAGTACATATAAAAACGGTTCAGGCCAATTTCCAAGCAAAATGTTTTGGTGAAATTTCAAGAATTTTAGTTTCAGGGAGTGTGCCGACTTTTGTGGTGAGTCTGGCTTGTAAATATTGTTTAGAGTTTGAAGTCATTTTTCACTACGGCCCAGAACAAAGACTACTACCATCAAGCCCCTAGATTTAGTTTTAAGTTAGAAAATTGTTTTTGTCTCACATGTTAGACGTCTTTAGTCACTGTCTTCTCATCATCACTGTCTGCAGTTTAACAGTATCAACTGTCTGCGTCGGCCTGGGTGGGGCACATTCACGGTGTTTGCTGGACCTGTGTAGTAGACATATAAAAAAACAATGTTGTTATTGGACAGAGAAGGTGAAAAGACAGAGTTAACAACATTAAAGAAGGACAGTAATTTGGTACAAAACAAAAACAATTAAAATGAGCTTCACACACTTGGATAGCCAATTTTTTAGCATGTCTAGATATCCAAAGTTTTAACCCTCTCAAAGCCATGTGTTGATAACTAACATAGGCTAAATATGCAGAACTGTCACTGTGAATCTGCCCCCCCGGTCCCTCTCCCCCACCCATACCCCCATCCAGTCAACCTCCTCCTCTGCAACTAAGGGTGTCTGCTAGCAGCTGCCTCCCAGGTGTTGCCAAGAGAGTGCAGATAAAGTTTCCACCTTCAAACGTTTTGTAGGAACTAGAAATGTCCTCCTAGTTCAGTGTTAACGCAGGTGTTACAGAGACACACTAGAAAAGACTTTTACTAGACCATATTTGAAAGATAAAGAGTATCTTATGAAGAGAGAGTTAAGATGAAAAGGGGATATAAGGCGAGCTTCTCTAACTTTGTTATAATTAATTGTATACCTGTGTATGTAAATATGAGGCATTCCTATTTTGCAGTCAAGAACAAAATACTATTTGTAATATAGAATAAACTTTATTATGAAACCAGGCATTTTGTGATTGATTGTGTGATTCCCCCCACCCCCCACCATAAACTTGCATTAATTTATTCATATGCAGTGTTAGGCACTTTACTTTTAATAGTTAATTAGTTATATTTACTAGTTATTTATCTCAATTATATTTCTTCCTAAGCTGGTTTTACAAGCCAGAACTACATAAACTAACAGAGCACTAACTGTACTAAATATTTAGCTGTGTCTATTATTGTTATTAAAATTCTGAAAAGATATACTTTTTTGGTACACTAACTTTTGATCACAGTAAAATACTAAACTAATAAGTTCCTGAACAAATCTCAGAAAATAAAAGTTTCTCAAAAATGACTAAAAATATAAAAATACTTTGATGTCACTTGGTCAAGTCTTGGTTGATTCTTGGTCGATGGTCATCACTTGGACGTCAGTTGGAGGTCATTTGACGTCACTTGGTCGATATTTGGTTGAGTCTTGTAAAATACTATACCAATAAGTTCCTGAACAAATCTCTGAAAATAAAAGTTTCTCAAAAATCACTAAAAATACACTAATTTGCCTTAAAATACTGAGCTATATCATTTTTTGTTTAAAAAAGTCAGAAATAATATATGTACTTTTTTGGGACGCCAAGTGACGTCCAAATGACGTGCAATTGACGTCCAAGTGGCCTCCAAGCGACCTCTAAATGGCATCCAAGTGACCTCCAAGTGACTTCCAAGTGATGTACAAGTCACCTCCAAATGACGTACAAGTGACGTCCAAGGGACCTCCAAGTGACCGTCAAATGACCGCCAAATGGCCACCAAATGACGTCCAAATGACGTGCAAGTGATAACCAAATGACGTCCAAGTGACCTCCAAATGACGTCCAAGCGACCTCCAAGTGACTGTGACCGAAGTACAGAGAAGGTCAGAAGGACCCACATTGTGTATTTGTAGATTTAGAAAAGGCATATGACAAGGTGCCAAGGGAGGAATTGTGGTTTTGTATGAGGAAGTCAGGAGTGGCAGAGAAGTATGTTAGTTTGGTGCAGGACATGTATGAGAATAGTACAACAGTAGGGAGGTGTGCTGTTGGGAGGACAGAAGACTTCAAGGTGGAGGTGGGACTACATCAAGGATCGGCCCTGAGCCCCTTCTTGTTTGCTGTGGTGATGGACAGATTGACAGATGAGGTCAGACAGGAGTCCCCATGGACTATGTTGTTTGCAGATGACATTGTGATCTGTAGTGAGTAGGCAGCAGCTAGAAGAGAACCTAGAGAGGTGGAGGTTTGCACTAGAAAGAAGAGGAATGAAGGTCAGCCGCAGCAAGACAGAGTACGTGTGTAAACGATGGGGGGGAGAACAGTGAAATAGTGAGGTTA